CTAAAGAGTCTTTTCTTTGGCCGTAAAAAGTCATTAAAGATATTCTTTCTCATTTATAACCAATTAAGTTGTCATATCACATTTAGTTCAACCATATTTATAACCCACAAGCAAAAGTAAAAACTCTTTAGAAATTGCCAAAATAAACAGAAAAACCTGAAAAAGAAGTGATTAGTTAACTCTAAAATTAACTTTTGAAAGTAGAACCCGTAATATAAACTCTGAACATTAACTCGCAGATTAACTTTCAAAGGATTGTACAAAATTAAATTAAATTAATAGAATCAGGCGTTACTTTGCGGAAATCCATTATATAAAAGATGTTTAAATTAATTAAGGTACGAGTGAATAATAAAACTGTGTCTTATCTAATATTGAAGAACACCTCACGTCCTCCATCAATTGCGTGCACTATCCCAGTCACCACTAATCCTAGCACTACTTTCTTCACTTTCACGATGAAGGTTTGACTTTGGTTGTGTTAGACGTGCACATACACATTGTGTTAGTGTGCGTAGGCCTCGGGGGCGCTCAGTCACGATCGAGAGTCGAACGAATCGCAGTTACACATACAAACGCGCCTGTCGGTACACGTCACTACTGCAATCAAGGCGAAACCTTCATCGTGAAATAGATTAATTATGGTTATAACACCACTACACTAGGGAAGGCACACCACCGTCAATAGCATAACACGTGTTTTGCCTCCAAATGAGGCATGATGAGCCAGTCTAAGAACCCTTTTTACGTGTGTTACGCTATGCATTTCGCCTTTTAACGAGATGTAATGCCTATAAGAAGCCTATCTTCCACACGCCACCATCGATAATACTTGTTTCGCCTTTAAACGAGGCAAGATACCTCTAGTAGCCCCATTATAGTGATGGTGGGAATAGTGGTGACGGTAATTTTGCACGCAATTGAAGGAGGGAGGTACCCTACAAACTAGGTAAAGACACCTCATTTTAATTTTTGAGGCATATGTTAGCTAATTAATTTCAATATTTTTAAATTATTTTTATGGCAACCCATCACCTTATTTCCAAATTATAATATTCTTCAAAGCCTTAAATGTACACATTTACATTTCTCGAATGCATGCATGTTACTTTGTATTCCAATTAAATTAAGGTTTTTATTTTATTTTATTATAACGGGTAAGCCACGGCAACAAAATAGATGGCCAATACGTGACACTCTGTGGCCTTTCTACAGAAACCTTAACTTTACATATGATTTCGTCTTAAAAATTAATTCTAACCTTAAATATTTCAGGCGGGACGGGGTGATCATCAGTTCATACAATATTGCCCTATGACCAAAAATATAACTTTAAAATACTATGGCAATTAAAAAAAAATAGTTTTTATTATTATAATTGATAATATAATCTGCCGGAAACATTTAAAAAATGAGACTTAAAATGGTTCTTAGTAAAAATTCTTGCAGATATTTAAAGAAGTAGAAGAAAGTTGTTTACTTTATTAATTTTATAACTTTGTCTGAGGCTGAATTTAATGTGTGTTTGATTGTGTATTTGATATGTATTACGTGTGAAATACGAAAAATATGGTATACATTGGAAATAATATAATTTACCAGGCTCGCAACACAAAAAATTATGTTAACTGTTTTTTTTTTAACTCTATTGGATATTATAGTATATATAGTATATTCGTCAATTTTTTAAGGATCAGAGTTCACAAACAGAAAGATTTCATTGAAAATCGCTAATAATGACTTGTATTATTAAGATAAACTTAACTGGTCGCGTAATTATTTTATTACTGTCCAAGTTAATTTTACGCGAACTATTTCATTACGTAACACAAATTTTAATTAAATTACTTTTAGTCAATTCAAGTGGTTTGAAAGACAACTGATCGGTGAGAACACATGAGTTTTCTTCGTAGTGTGCGACATTTTGTATCAATATAGATTTTTAAATCATTATAAAAACGCTAAGAGCTAGATCAGCTCGAGAAGGACAAAAAATACCTCTGTCCAAACGTCCATACATTACATATAAATATAGCTTATGGATTTTCACAACTCGTTCACTAGGGGAAAATATGTGGGCCATTTCATGTGTGAGTGTGAGTGGGTGAGTGACAGTGTCTAGTGTAATTGAGTGAGTCAGTCGGTGAGTGAGTGAGAGGATAACTGAGTGAGTGAGTGGGCGGGTGAGTGGCTCAATGTTTAACTGTCAATGAGTGAGTGCCAGAGAGTGAGTGCGTAGAGAAGTGTAAGTATAAATTAGCGAATGGAAGTGAGTTCATGTATGTAAATGATTGTGTGATTTGATGAGTGAATGTGAATGTCACTGTTTGAGTTTGAATGTCAGTGAGTCAGTGAGTGTAGGAGAGTATGAGTTGGGGAGTGAGTGTCAGTGTGCGTGAGTGCGTGTGTGTGTGTGTGTGTGTGTGTGTGTGTGTGTGTGTGTGTGTGTGTGTGTGTGTGTGTGCGTGTGTGTGTGACTGTGTGTGCGTGTGTGTGCGTGTGTGTGTGTGTGTGTGTGTGTGTGTGTGAGTGAGAGCGAGTGAGCGTGAGTGTGGGTTAAGGAGTGTGAGCGGGAGTGCGTGTCGTACGTGTGTTCACCCCGCCCGCGGCCGCCGGTCGCCGCGCCGGTCGCCGCCCGCCGGCTGCCGCGCGCCGCGCTCTTGCTGCCCACAAACAAGCGCGATTCGCTTTCCGTTCACCGCCTCTAGGGGGGACACTTGGCACAACGCGATAGCAAACAGTAGACAAGGCAGTCCTCGTGATCGTGGCGTATTACTTCCATTTAATAAAAACGATTTTATATACGTATGCTGTGTAACATGGTGTCTTGTGTGTAGAGTTTAAAAAACGCGAAACTGTTTTGAATAAATAATTTAATTGATCTTCATTCGAAGTGACCGTTCACAAACTATAAATGCGAACAGAATAAACGAAATCTCTTTACATCTCTTTAGATTAATCTAATTTCAAAAACCACAATCATGAAACTCTCTCGCCTATTTAAGATAAAAGACAACATTAAATAGTTGTTCATGTGTATATCTGACAAAAAGTTCGTTCTTATGTATTATTATATAGTAAAAATTTATGTCGTAATCAACTTTATTCAAATTATTCATTTCTTTATTTTGTGAAATTACACACAGAAAACACTTGACTTTGATATAGACTCATATTAAAATATATCCACAAAAATTTGGAACTCCATGTCCGATATAACATAATGTTTTTTTTTTATAACATTTACACAAATTCTACTTGTTGAATACAAATTTTTTGGCGATTTTATCACATTTAATATTAACTTTTGCATCATAAAATACTTTGCCAAAAATTAACCAAAGTTATTTTTAGAAGAGTTTATTATAGATAATTTCAAAACCTTAAATAAATTCAATTAATGTATTCATATCAATAAAAAATATATATTTGCATATAAAAGCACCATAATTCAGCAAATTCAAATAAAATTTCGCTTTGCAATAATATTCTAATTGAAACTACTTTTTAAACTGCTACTTATAAAAAATAATGACATTGGGATTAGAACCTACGTCCCTTTGTCCTTTGAGGGAAGCCGGTAAACACCAGTGCTGTTTCCATTTAGCTCAACTTAGTTTTGTAGACAATGAAATGATTTCTGCTTGGTGTCATAAAAGGAAACTGAAACAGGAGATGGGCAGCAGCATCTTCCAGAGAACTCAATAAAAAATCTGCGGTTACCAACCGACCTACCAAGCCTGGCAACTATGGCAAATGTTCCTCCTATGAGACAACATATGAGGGGAAGCATATATTCAGCAGTGCACTTGTGTGAATGAATGGTGATGTAAGATGTCTACTAAAATAAATTGAACTTATAGATATGAAGCATCTATTCCATGTGGTGTCCCACCAGAGTGAACAATGAATTTTATTACATACGACGTAAATGATAAAGCCATTCATTCAACTGAAGTTAAAGTTAAATAAGTTACAGCATATATACGTCCCACTGCTGGGTACAGGCCTACTCTCATTCCTGAGAGGGTTTTAGGGCAAGTAAATGTCCGCCGCGCTACCCCAATGTGTATTGGCAAACTTCACGTCTTTGAAATTTTTTTTCTTATTTCTCAGGCATGCAGGTTTCCTCACGATGTTTTCCATCACCGCCGAGCACGTAGTAAATCAGCAGTTAAAATTGCTATTAACAATTTCATTCGATCGAACCTGGGTTGCTCGAGTACTGTGAAATTTACAGCGAGCGCTAACCATCTGAGCTACCACGGCTCAAGTGAAGTTTTCGACAAATTCCAAACTTTGTGCTCAACTCATTTACATATTAACTAAGCATGTTATATTCAAAGCTGTATCGCCTGAGCCCCTGATTTATTTTTACTTCCTTTCTTAAATCCTGAGATTCTCCTCCTTAGTCCTCCTTTTCTGGTAGATGGAGTGACGAGTCCCATTCAGAAATCACACAGAGCCTTCTATAGTGCAAGTGTGAAAAATTTAATAACTCAACCACCTATCGGGTCCTGATTTTGTAATTTTCTTTTTGGGGCACAAATACTATATTGTGAATACGAGTCATTTTGGTCCATAAATACAAAATTTGTTAATAGCTTGACTACAGTGCAATTTATCGCATCCTAGCACAGTAAAACATTGTAAACCACTGTGTGGACAAAACAAATATATTATGTTAATATGACCTCATTCGGTCTAATCATTATATATCTTACAAATTATACATTCGCCAACTTCCGAGGACTTAAAATAAAATAACTAAATTGTTTAAGTGGTTGTAAGCACTATTTTATTTTATAAATGTGAAAACTAAACGTTTATTTTTAGAAGCCAGTTATTAATATTTAAACTAAAATATTGCAATATGCACTTCTATTCAAGGATGGACCAAGACAAATTCTTAGAAACTTGTTCCTACCTTATAATATACTTATAGAAGTTTAATCGCAAACAACATAATTGAGTTCGTCGTTCTAGTAGCCATCACTCACCTGCTCCTTCTTCCTTTCCTTCTCTTCTTTCTCCCTCTTGCGCACTTCCACGATATACTCGTTGAAGAACTTCTCCCGATCGCGTACCTTCTCGATGCCCTTGAAACGCTCGTCGCGGCCGTGTTTCGACGAGAAGTCCGAGAATGAGGACCTTAGGAAAAATAAAGTTGTTTTTAATATCTTTTTTCTTAATTTAATAATTTCATATATTTCTCTAAGCAAGCTAACTATGCTATAAAGAGGTATACGCTCGCAGTTTCTTTGCGTGATAGACTTCGTAATGAGGGAAACCGCAGTATGACCATAGTATCCGACATAGCCCAACGGAACGGATCCGTAAACTGAAGGGGCAATAGGCCGTCCTTATCGACAGCCAATGGGGAAGAAGAATAGACAGTGTGAACACGTAGTAAGACATGCACGAAGTAAATGGATGCTGGTGACACAAAACCTTGCTTTGGGGTATTTCTTGGAGAAATCAAAGGTTCAAACACCTTTTTAAAATTTTGTACAACCGACTTCAATATAAATTATTAAGGATAACTCAAAAACTATTGATCAGACCATGATCAAATTTATATGGAAGATACGAGAAATACCAGATTTCAAATAAAAAAGAATCATCGAAATCGGTTCAGCCACACAAAGTTATGAGGTAACACACAAAAAAAAGAACATATAGTCGAATTGAGTACCATATCCTTTTCTACTGACTTCAAAAAGGAGGAGGTACTCAATTCGACCGTTTTTATGTGTGTTACCTCATAACTTTACTGGGTGAACTGATTTCGATGATTATTATATTATTTGAAAGCTGGTGCTTCACATGTGATCCCATATAATTATTACAAATTTGATCAAGGTCTGACCAATAGATTTTGAGATATTCTTAATAATTTGTATTGAAGTCAGCTGTACAAAATTTTTAATTCTTAATTATTGGAGTAGATAGAAAAGAGAAAAGAACTATTATTTCGTCTCCAGAGAAGACGACCAACCGCGGATACAGTTCTTTAGAAAATTGGAGCGATTACCAATATAGGCTATCAAAATTCATTGCTGGACATAGGCTGCACCATTGTTTGCCTCGTAGGGGTGTCGTATACTTCCCATATTTTTATTAACCTGTTATCAAAAAGATGATGCTACTCAACAAATTCCATTCCCTCTGTCGCCTTTAACAAAACCCATGAGATAGTATGGGCTAGTGGATGTTTTTACACCGGCCATCGATTTTTATTCAAAATTGTAAAGTTAAAGTGAATTAACAAAGTGTAATGGGGACGTTAGGGAATATATAATTAACAGGGAGTTTTTGACGGGAACTTGAACGGTGGAGGATTGCTGCTCTTGTATTATTGTTTAACTCTTCAATTCCCATGCCTATATTTATCAAAAAAATAATACTTTATTTTATTATAAGGTCCAGATATATTTAGTATAGACCAACAAAAATTATAAAAATAAGGCAACTACCCCCGCTTATTTTTTATAGAGGTGTCACCTACAGGTGACACTGGACATTGTTTAAACAGCTCATAAAATTTAAGTTTTCTTTCTGTAGCGATGAAAACATCCGTTTAAGAAATGTTTATTGACACATAAGAAAAAAGCGTTTTATTACCATGAAACATATACTAGAAATTAGATGCAAAATGAATTGGTACTTGGCGAACATCTTTTTGCGTTCGTTGATGACAATATCCACATCGCCGCTGCGAACGGACAACTTCTACATGGTCATTGGCAATACCTGCAGACCTCCCCTCACCAGGCACTCTAATCTAATCTGGACTGGAACTCCACAGGCATAATCACGGGTTGGAGGCTTAACATATGTTTGCAGGTAGATAGTAGCAACGTTTCTGCGAAAATCACAGTCCAGTTAGTTTGGCAAGCAGCGTCTATATCAAAAGCAAACAGGATACCACCACTTTTTTCCGCGAAGTCAAAATGGTTTACTCTACCCATACTCTTATTACATCCTGATAATAGCTGGGTAAACCACTCTAATTTTAGATCGCTATTTATTTACATTTCCAATATGATCTACTTTTGTGACAAGACTCAATCCGTGGCAGTTAGATGCAATGGTGGTGATACTGTTGTCATGCTATTTATTTAGCTGCAATAATTTCCTAACGTTTTGCTCTCGCAAATACTTTAGTAGTGGTAAGCCAGTAAAATAGTTTTACTGTCCCAATTCTTTTAATAATCTGGAGAGGAGTTCCAGAATAACCGCAGCTCCTAGGCCCATATCTGACTGCATCTTGAGGGCTGTCATCTCTTTTTATAAGTGTATAAAACTTCTACGTTACAGTCTTCTTTACCACAAGTAGTAGAAAGATGGTACATCAATGGTACCATGTTTTTATAGTATTTCCCCTTTTATATTTTTTCTTTGGTGTTGACCTTTGACTTTATTTCTTCTACTTCCTCATCATTTACACATTTTTTTTAGCCTGAAGGTCTACTTTGTAGTTCTAGCCTTGTTTTCATCCCCACTGTCTTCGTCAGTTACCTTACCATTTATTTATTTATTTATTCTTTATTGCATTCCTTAATCTAAAAGAATACAAAGGGTGGACTTAATACCTTGTGGCATTCTCTACCAGTCAACCCATGGAGTGGTGAGAATTTGAAGTAGGTGTAGCAATATAGAATAAAAACAAAATATATATGATAATTAATTACGTTATATATACATTTTACTAATACATACAATAAATAAACTATAAAAATATATCCTATTTATACACGTATACAAATATATACGTACATACATAAGCATACATATATTCATACAAAACATACATATACAAATAGTACATATAAATAACTATAAATATATAGGTCTAAAAATATAAATGACATGGATGATTCATGTAAGAAGCGTTGTCTTTAACAGATGATGACGTCAGGCAAGGAGTTCCAAAGGCGTGCAGCCTGAACTGTAAAGGAGTTACAATAGAACTCGGTGAAGTGAACTAGAATACATATTTTGTTGTTAGAAGAAGAACGTAGAACCCTATCATGAGATGAGGAGAGATAGTGAAATCTTCTCTTAAGATAAAAAGGCGTCAAAAGGGCATTTAATATGGAAAAAAGAACAAAGTAATATTCTGGAAATACGCCTCTGCGGGATTGTAAGCCAATTAAGCTTAGATCTATATTGCGAAATATGGTCATATTTACGAACCCAAAAATAAATCTTATACAGTTATTGAGAAGGTGTTCCAGCTTGTTCAGAAGATCCTGGGACAGATCCGGGTAACACACACCTGCATAATCAATTACGGGTAATATGAGCGATTGGACAAGCATGATCTTAGACTTTGTGGGGAGAAAATGTTTTGAACGATACAGAGAACGTAACGTAGCAGTGACTTTACGACTGACTTCAGTAACCTGGGTTCTCCAATTCAGCGTGCTGTCAATGTGTAGGCCAAGATTTTTTACATACTTACTGAACGGTATTGTAATCCCATTGTAGTAGATAGGGGGTATGTCTGCAAGATTAATCTTGGCTAGCATCCTTGAGCTACCCACCAGTATAGCTTGGCATTTCGAAGGATTGACCAACACTCCATAACGAGTAGACCAATCCTTGATAGCTGATAAGTTGTTATTTTCATCATCATACCATCATCAGGAGGAAATAAAATAATATTCCCTGGGTCCTCCCCGACTTGCAACTCCTCAGCAAACTCATCTAACATCAACCCGTAAAACGTAAAGATGCTACAAAATACCATCCACCGCTACAAAGCAATCCAAATAAATCAATAGTTGTGATTAGAAATAATGCCCAGTGTCACCCACAGGTGACACGTCATATTTTGAGCGTTGTTATGAGTATACTTTACGTTAATTTAATTTTAAATTGCATTAATATTATAGCTAATATATTCATTTATCACGTGCAGTAAGAAAAATAACAATACTTACGATGTGAACATTTTTATCTCAGCTTGTATTGCAAGAAATCACACTTACTTCATATACGAGCAAATGAATTTAATGAATTTTACAAATGACGTTTAGTTAGTGTTAATATAAAATTACAATAAATTTAACGACTAATTATCTTTGTAGTAATAATGGTAAGATGCAAAAAAACTTGTCATATGCTAGAAAAAAAAATGTTAAACATCTGTCACCTACAGGTGACACTGGAAATTGAAGAGTTAAATAATGGTTGGAAGTGGATTTTGATATGTAGAAGTGGTGCGACTTTGTGTATTAAGTTTCTGCGCATGTGAACTATTAGTGGAAACGGTAAAACAAGTGATCTGATGGTGATGTGATTCTCAAGATAAGGTGTCTGTCTGTCTGCTAGCTCAAGTTGCCGTCACAAGCTCCCAAGGGCTGCAATGTGACGCATTAACATATTGTGAAGCAGTGTATTATGAAGAATAATAATTAATTATACATTGTAACTTCAGGCTAAGAACGGCTAAAACCCAGAGCCGTAAAGCCAGTTTTAAAAAAAAGTATAAAATAAAAATTTTTAAATACCCCCGAAACAAAACAAATAGACTGACGATCTTCAAACGGCTAAACAGATTTTCTTGAAACATAGCTAAAGAACACTATCGATTAAGACACCTTTCAAATGAAAAGAACTTTGATCATTGGTTCAGGAGCTATGAAGCCACAGACAGACACACAAATAAACACTACAAACTTGTACGTGGTAGAGCCATGCTGCAGCTATATTACTGGTATAGTTGTAGCACGAATGGGTGGGCTCGACCGGGGAAGGACCACGCTCTCACAGAATACCAGCGTAAAATAGCAGCTTAATGCTACTGTGTTTCGTATGGTGAGTGTAGAGAACCGGAGACCCTTTTTACTGGAAACGAGGCATTCCATCTTAGTCCTCACGGGTGACAACGCATCTGCATTTTGATTCGTAATCGAGGATAGATGTAGATGTCTATGGGCCATAGCAATCACTTACCATCAGGTGGACTGTGTGCTCGTTTGTCACCCTTATCCTATTAAAAAAAACACGAACACAGGAAAAACCACAGGTTTAAAAAAACCGGTAACGATCAGCAGGGTGAAAAGTACTCACGTCTGGCACTGCGTCAATCCACTTGCTAAGCATTACGATTATTTACCTCCATACAAAGGGAGAGGCACATCTCCAGCAGTGGACTTTTATGAGCTGATATAGATGACTATATACTAACTTGGAGTGTAGTTTGGCCTCTTCCATCAGTTGCCTGAACTCATTCTTCTTCTGCTGCAGCCTGTTCTTCTTCTCCTTACGCTCTTCCTCTGCCCTCTCGCGGACGTATTTGTCGAATACCTGTCGATGATATATCGTGTAGTTAGTGACAATGTACATTATCAACATTATTTAAAACTAGCTGTTCCCCGCGACTTCACCCGCAAGGATTTTTTTTCCGCGGAACCTTAAAATAAAAGTTAAGCTTAAACAAGTGGGATGCGGGAAGTAAAGAAAGTGTAAGAACCTCCGAAGGAAGCGAAGTTATAGCCGAAATAAGAATTTTTAATTTTTTGGTATTTGGCCATTTTGACCCCCTAGGAGTGTAATGAGAACTTTTTGCCCCTATTCAACCATGACCCCCATGCCATCCTCTACATGATATGTTATTCTAACTGACTATTCCTGAAATTCGAGCCACCCCCCAACTCATCTCTAGTCTTTACTTTCAACTACTCCTTATAACATCAGCTATCAGTCAGTGAAAGTCCCATCCAAATCGGTTCATAGGATTTTGCGTGAGGCGTGTTCACACCAAAATAGTTCGCAGATTACAGATTTTTTTAGACTTATTTAACATTTATCGTTATATTTTGGCCAATTTACACAATATCTTTATGAATTATTATGTGTTGTTCTGATATATGAGCTATATTATTGTAAAGTTTCATTAAAATCCATTCAGTAGTTTTTGCGGGAAAGAGTAAGAAACATTTATACATTCTCATAAAGTTTCACATTTTTAATATTAGTAGAATGTGGTAAGGCCATGCTGTAACTACATTATGGTTGTAACACGCATGAATAAGCTTGACCGGGGAAGATATGTTGAGAATCAAATTTGCATTTTGATTCTTTATCAAGGACTTTATTACTGGAAAAGAGATAATTTAACTCTTCAATTCCCATGCCTATGTTTATCAAAAAAATAATACTTTCTGTTACTATATGGCACAGATACATTTAGTATAGACAAAAAAAAATTATAAAAATAAGGCAACTACCCACTTCTTTTTTATAGGGGTGTCACCTACAGGTGACACTGGGCATTGTTTAAACAGTTCACAAAGTTAACGTTTTCTTTCTGTAGGGATAAAACATCCGTTTTTGTAAAAGAGATATTTATTGACATATAAAAAAGAAGCGTTTTATTACCATGAAACATATACTAGAAATTAGATGCAAAATGAATTGGTACTTGGCGAACATCTTTTTGCGTTCGTTGATGACAATATCCACATCGCCGCTGCGAACGGACAACTTCTACATGGTCATTGGCAATACCTGCAGACCTCACCTCACCAGGCACTCTAATCTAATCTGGACTGGAACTCCATAGGCATAATCACGGGTTTGAGGCTTAACATATGTTTGCAGGTAGATAGTAGCAACGTTTCTGCGAAAATCACAGTCCAGTTAGTTTGGCAAGCAGCGTCTATATCAAAAGCAAACAGGATACCACCACTTTTTTCCGCGAAGTCAAAATGGTTTACTCTACCCATATTCTTATTACATCCTGATAATAGCTGGGTAAACCACTCTAATTTTAGATCGCTATTTATTTACATTTCCAATATAATCTACTTTTGTGACAAGACTCAATCCGTGGCAGTTAGATGCAATGGTGGTGATACTGTTGTCATACTATTTTTATTTAGCTGCTCTCGTAAATACTTTGGCATTTAACAAGTTAAAAAGTTTTACTGTCCCAATTCTTTTGGTAATCTGGATAGGAGTTTCAGAACAACCGCAACTCCTAGGCCTATATCTGACTGCATCTTGAGGGCTGTTATTTCCTTCTATAAGTGTATAAAAACTTCTATGTTACAGTCTTCTTTACCATAAGTAGTAAAAAGAACGTTTGTGTACCACCTTTTTATAGTATTTCCTTTTTTATATTTTTTCTTTGATGTAGAAACCTTGACTTTTTTCTTCTACGTCATTTACACAATTTTTCTCTGAGTCAGAAGGTCTACTCTGTAATTCCACTTGAGACTGAAGCATACAATTAGGAAGATAAACAATATTTGCGTCAATTTCATCCCCACTGTCTTCGTCAGTTACCATACCATCATCAGGAGGAAATAAAATAATATTCCCTGGGTCCTCCCCACTTGCAAACTCCTCAGCAAATTCATCTAACGTCAACCCGTAAAACGTAAATAACACGCAAACAAACAAATAAACGCTCCAAAATACTACTACAAAGCAATCTAAAAGAAACCAATAGTTGTGATAATAAATAGGGCACGACACGTCATATTTTGGGCGTTGTAATGAATATAGTATACATTATTTTTATTTTAAATTGCATTAATATTACAGATAATATATTCATTTATCACGTGCAGTAGAAAAAATAACAATACTTACGATGTGGACATTTTTATCTCAGCTTACATTGCAAGAAATCATACTTACTCAGAAAACTCCAAATACGCGCGAATGAATTAAATTAATTTTACAAATGACGTTTAGTTAGTGTTGAAATAAAATTGCATTTAATTAAATGACTAATTATCTTTGTAGTAATAATAGTGAGATACAAAAAAAGTTATCATATTTTAGAAAAAAAAATGTTAAACATCTGTCACCTACAGGTGACACTGGGAGTTGAAGAGTTAAGACAAAGCATCTGCATTTTGATTTTCAAACGAGGACAGATGTAGATGTCTATGGGCCGTAGCAACCTCTTATCACCAGGTGGACTGTGTACTCGCTTGTCACCCTTATCCTATAAAAAAAAAGATTGATCTAGACGTTTATGGGCCACGTCATCTACTTGCAATCAGGTGATATGAGTACTCGATTGTTAACCTTAACTTGAATCCATAAAAAAGCAAAGTTTAGTGAGCAGAGTATGGTGAACAAGCGGACACTGACCTGTTTCCTCTCCTTGGAGGTGAGCAGCAGGTAGCGGCTGTCGAAGACGATCTTGTGCAGCTCCTTCTCCCAGGGGCTGAAGGCGGACACCTCGCTCTCGTGCAGCATCTGCAGGAAGCTGCGCACGCGCTGCTCGAAGGGCAGCAGCGCGCGCTCGCGGGCCGCGCGGATCTCCGCCTCCACGGCCGCCTCCTTGCCCGCGTCGATCAGCGAGCCGCCCGAGCCCCCCGCCCCCTTCTTGCTCGCGGCTGCGGGACATCGCACAACTGTTAATATTGCAGTTTTGGCGGGAACTTGACCGCTGGCGGAATGCTGCTCCTGTATTCCGTTCCGTTACAGCTTATAAAAGTCCACTGTTGAACATGGGCCTCTCCCACAGATTTTGCCGTAGTTGCCATGATTGGCAGGTAGGCAGAAGTATAATATAATGGATAAGTTCTTATTACTTGATTCTGCCGAAAATACAATCCTACGAGTCCATTACCAGCGAAAGAAAGAAAGAATCCTGTCCTGGGTTCAAATCTCGACTCAAGCAAAAATCAGCTACTGAGTTTTTCTGTCTGAAAATTCTCAGTAGCAGCCCAGAGTCAGAAAGTTGGCGATATTTCACCCTAGTGCGTTGGAGAGCACTTGAAGCTGAGTCCTCCGCTCGATCTCCTTGGGTCGTGTCGGATTACCGTTCCATCGGACTATGAAAGTGAGTGAATAATGCACCTATGCTTGCACACATATATGCAGTATAATCTAGTCCTACATAGATAACTCCATCAAGACTGACCACAAATTCAATCCAAACAACATTATTATTAATCTATACATACAAATAAATAAAATTGGAGTGTCTATTTGTAACGTCAAAATAACAGCTTTTCACTAAATGCATATAAAAGTATATATGGTACTTATAACAAAAACAATATTTTTAAAAATTTTGTCTGCCTGTCTGTCTGTCTGTTTGTTCCCGCTAATCCCCGATAATTCCGGCTAACTTCCAATTTTGATGGGACTTTCACTGGCAGAAAGATAAGGTGTAACTTAGGCTACTTTTCTTTTAGAAAGAGAATTAGGATTCCGCGCAAAAAAATAAAAACCTAAATTACACGCGGGAGAAGTCGCGGGGAACAGCTAGTATCATAATCATAAACACCAGTTTAGAATACATTTTAAAAAATTTAAACCATTAAGTACTACTTAGAATTATAAATTCTAGAAAAAAAAACATTAGTTTAACGAGACTGCTTTTTCTACCTACAATAACAGGACTCCTTTTCTGCCTAGAAATCTACTGGATAAGTAGTACTTATCCAGTAGATTTCTATATATATATAATATATTTCTTTCTATATAATATATTTCTTTCTCCTCTTATCTATTTCTGCAGCCAAATGACTGTGCCTGCCAGTGTGTTCCAGCCTGAAGAGTATAGAGCCAGTATAATTGCCTGCGGTGAGGTATTCCGTCTAGTACACCACACACATTCAATAGATGAAAACCTTCTTTGAAGTTGGTCGCAGGTATCTCTATAGTCTTCAGTAATCAGCCACCATTTGGTGAAGTGAAAATTTGTTGTGTTTTAACTAGACTTGCAACGAATATTCGGCTATTATTTGGTATTCAGCCTATTCGGCTAGTCTTATCCTATTCGGTTGAATACCGAATATCTAGGTAGTCGGCCGAATACCGAATACTTAAGTAAGAGGTTTTATTGTTTTATTGTGGTCAGACAATTGGTAAAATGAAAATTTTTCTTTTTGCAGACAATCCCATCTTCAGAGAGCAGATAGAGCATCTCATCAGGCTCGGGCTCTGCTCTGGCTGGTGCGAGAACAGGCGAATAAACACTAGTCCCCTTCGCGGCCGAATACTTTGGGTAATATTCGGCTATTCGGCCAGAAAGTCCGCAGAATATTCAGTATTCGGTGTGCGGCCGAATATAGTATTCGTTGCAAGTCTAGTTTTAACCCTATATCTGTGTTAGCCCTAGATATATTTATTTTAATCACTCACAGTCATCAGACTTCGCCTTCTTGGCGGGTTCATGATCTGAGTCGTCGCTGTCAGAGTCTGCGGACCTCTTTAGCTCGCCGTTGCCTGTTGCGTTAGCTGTGTTGTTGCCAGTAGCAGCCGGAGGGTTGTCTTTGCGCTGAAATAATAAAAATTCTATATTTTTCTGCTTAATCAATCAATCAATCAATATAATATTCTTTATTGTACACCAATACACATTAGAACGAAAAAAATATATACAAGGTACAATAGGCGGTTAAATTAATAGTATTAATTATTATTAATAACAGTTTAAGTGAGCCCATCGCCCCATTTACTATTCCGGGTGTGAACTGTTTGAGAATTTTACGTCTGGCGTAAACGATATGGTTACACCACCCACTCAGTTTTATTGGAAGATATGTTTTTTTTTCTTAATTTATTTCAATAAAGTGCAGATTTTTTTGTTGTGCTCAGAATATGTCATACTTAAATTTTACTACAATATACATAATTAACATTTTTTATAGAATAAGGGTGACAAACGAACACAGTCCTCCTGGTAGTAATTGGATACTGTGGCTCATAGCTCTTTTAGTTATAGCTGCAATAATCACTAAAATTCTAATAATCTTTATTGAATAATCATTATTTATAAAATTTAAATAAAATATATAATTTCAACTCCCATAATTCATTATTCAAGAAATTACTATCAAAATTATTACATCAGACATCTACATTTACTATTAAGGCTTTAACTAGCCTGAATGACCTTGACGAAACGGCGATCGCAGAGATTTTAGCCGATGTCAACACCGTCTTACAACTACGTTCTGTATTACTTATAAAAGTGCAAAGATTAATAGACTGCAGAGATGACAATTATATAAGTGACATACTGCCTGTTATGCTTGCGCATCACTGAGAATTATGTCGCGGTTACGGATTTTCAATTACATTGTGCTGTATCTTTGTCCGGTAGGCGTCACGAGCTACCAAGTGTTCAAGTTTCAAGTACGTAAGAGTTTTTTATTATATATGTTAAATCGTATTTATTTGTATCGTATTAATAGATCTGGGTCAAAGCGTTCGCTGTAAATTTTCCAGAAAAATTTTTCAAAAAAGAAGATTTTGTCTTTTCACACAAGTATTGTTTACAACTGGCGTGGTTTCGAAAAGCGTGATTAAGTGTCAGCGGTATATAATCAATTAAATACTGAACTTTTTTGAAATTTATTTTTTTGTTTATTTTTGTTATGTCTTCTTAAAAACTGACGCCATCTCACTATTTTATTATTTGTTTTTTTTTTGTAACGCATAAGGATAAGTTAGACTAAGTTAGATTAACTTGGATAAGTTTATAATTTTTTTAATTTTATCACAAAATTTCCGCAATAAATTATTACCTTTTCTACAGTGATTCTCTCCTCTTAGTTTCGGCGTGACTGTAGGATGTTATACTGAGTCACCTTCAGTTACTAAGCGCCCATAAATCATTATATGTATGTATAGACATACATATATACATTTTTTGATTTTAATATTTATGTTTTTTTGAATTTTGATTGGATTTTTGAAACCTGGTAAAATTATTTTTTTCCATGCCAATTGATGGGCCTGAGTATAATGCCATTTATGCTCTTTGGCTGAAGTTATTTTTTATTTTATGCTCAATTGCAGACAAAACAATATTGATTGCGCATTTCTAAAACAAAATTTTACCTCTTCTCCTTCTAATAATAGCTCCTGCACCTAACACGGTGAAATAGATATTATTATCTATAAGACTATTTGCGGAAACAGTTTTTGTTAACAGTTATGAGTGTAACATTTTATCAGCTGCTTTGTTTATAGTGCCTTGAACAACACTTTGCCGGTTTCTGTACAGAAAATGATTTTTACACAAGAAAGTAAACGTTTAGATCAGTCCATCTTGTTTTTCTCTAATTAAGTGAAAAGTAAAACAAACCAATAGGTCCGTGATTTAAAATTTATTGCAACTTTTTATAGAAAAGCATGACCTTAACATAATATAGTCAATCATTTAGTCAATTATTTAGCCATGGGATAAAACTTTTAAGTGTGCCAGTCAAACATTAATGATGATAGTCGGGTCATTATACTGGAAATAGTGTTTTAAATATTTTTTAGTACAATTGACAATCTTCAGTATGATTGACCATGTATATGACTTTTATAAGTCTATGTTATTTTTGATGAAAATTATTATTGCAGATAAAAGCCCTTTCACATTTATTTTAGTCTCGAATTAAATTAATCCAAATGAAAATAAGAACTTTGGCACGTTATAACTGATCTTAAAATGTAAAACACTGACTTGAAATTATATAATTATTAGCAGTTTTTAATTTATTGAACTTTTTTAAGATTGTATTGGATCTCTACTGGTAAAAAAAAAAACAAATATATATATTATAGTTCTTGATGAAAATAAAGTATGCGCGTTACATCGTATCCCATCAATCGTTGAGTTTATGATAAGTAATAAATTGTAATAGAAAGCCAAATAGAAAGATATATTGTAAACTTGTTTGTGGTTCTCTCTAAATAAATTTAAAAAAAAATCAAGAATTTCTAATGTAATTCTTGGTGTAAAGTTAAGATGTGATAATAACTGTAAACAATAGAATAATATATAATAACGTAAACATTTGTAAATACTTGCTTTATAACCTAATAAACATTATTTGACCGTAATAAAATAAAACAAGGTAGTCTTCGGCATGAAAGTAAAAATAAATATTTTCGATTATTTTTGCAATATCTAACAGCCGGATCAGCGCGCGATTTTGATCCATCTAAAGATGCTAAATTTCAGCAAACACTGTCAAATTCAATGGGAGTGACAGAAAAAAAACGGTTCTTGATCTAAAAGGGTAAATAAATTATTTAACCTATAAAATAAATTCACTTTATTAAAAATCAAAATAGCCCAATAGCTTTATTAACATGAGACACATAATTGTACGAGTGCTAACAATACTTAACATTATTTTACTGAAATCTCAGAAAGTTTTTTTAATAGAATAAGGGTGACAAACGAGCACACAGTCCACCTGATGGTAAGTGGTTGCTACGGCCCATAGACATCTACATCTATTCTCGATTACGTATCAAAATGTAGATGCGTTGTCACCCGTGAGGACTAAGATGTAATGCCTCGTTTCCAGTAAAAAAGTTCTCCGGTTCTCTACACTCACCATACGAAACACAGCAGCGTTAAGCTGCCATTTTACATGGTATTCTGTGAGAGCGTGGCCCTTCCCCGGTCGAGCCGACCCATTCGTGCTACAACTATACCAACTACTAATATAACTGCAGCATGGCTCTACCACGTAAGAAAAAATTGACGTTGAAAATTTAAGTATTTTCAGAAGCAACTTTGCAATTATTTTCTATTGAGTGAACTTTTGTGGAATCGTGTTTTACAAACCGCCACCTGAAATACGTACAATTTTTTTTGATAACGACGTGAAATTACAAAACGATCCCCATGCATATCAATGTGGCTCCATTCAGCCTCTTAAAATGCACATACCTCGGGATTGAGAGATTTTAAAAGTTTTCATGCGTAGATAATGGAAGAAATAATATTATATTATTACTGTCCCGTGTGATGCAACCTTTATACTTATATACATATTCTTATCATATTTTTATGGTTGGTTAGAAAAGTTATATCTAAATGCAAACTTTCACAGGGTAATTTTTTTTTACTATTTTTACCCAGCAAGTAGTAAAGCAACTACAATCCCATCGCTGGTTATGTAGCTTAAGATGGTGAATTGCACTGACTTAACAAAAACCTATTCACTCTTGTTTAATACTCGTAGTACTAGGCAAGTATTATTTGCGACCTATTTGTGACCTATTTGTGTGTGTGTGTGTGTGTGTGTGTGTGTGTGTGTGTGTGTGTGTGTGTGTGTGTGTGTGTGTGTGTGTGTGTGTGTGTGTTTGTTTGTTTGTTTGTGTTTGTGTGTGTATGTGTTAAGAAAAGCGTATAAGAATACGTGAAGAGGAATAAAGGTTGAGTACTACTTCGCTTACCTATACGAGGTTGCCACTCGAGAACCTTTCGGTTTTCCAAGTTATATAGCTAGCCCATTGCCATTTCACTTTAATATTCCGTTTAATGTCAGTTACTCTGGTTCAACTGCGAATATCTTCATTTCTTACTTTATCACGTAGAGAAACCCCTCTCCAATTTAAAATTTTTACATTTTTAGATGATAGTTTGTGTAACATAAAAAAAAACCATGAACCCAAGAATGTGTTTATATAGTTATTTATACTTAGGGAAGCACCATTTTTATTATTTATTTAAATTGTTTGATTTAATTTGATAACAGTGTACCTAAATGTAAGTATCTGTATCTTTATTTCCCTCCCCAACAATATTTTATAAAGTCATACTCATAAAAACAGCGTTTTATTGTAATACATAATTATAAAATTCAGTATCAACTAATTAATAAAAATATGCAACAATAAAATTACATAGGTATTAAAAACTATCGAAATCTAAGTAATGAGAGCATGTTCGTCGTTCCACATCTAAATTATATAAATTGGCATTTATCAATTTCACTAACAAATGTCGCCGCGAAAATTTCTTCTTCTTTGGGCACTTTAAAAATTCATTTATTTAGAAAATAATATTTACAGTTACCAGTGTACAGATATTAACTAAATTAAGTATTTCTAGGCATAAAAATATTTATAATTGAGTATAAACTTATAAAAAACTAATATATATTTGAACAAAGTCGCTCCAACACCGACGTGCGGTCCACCCTCGACGATGTCCGAAAACGGACTGTGACAGAGCTTACATGGCGACGGAGCATGCGCGCTCGCGTAAATGTATTCAATTTCAGGAAAAAATGATATATTCTCTTATAAAACGGGTAATAAAAATAAAACTTTCAATTAAAAATATTAATATTTTTAAGACCTTTTTTTTAGTGTAAGAAATATTTAAAAAGCTTGTGCCGTTTTGGAGAAATTTTGCAAAATATGACAAAGATAGGTACTCTTTGGGGATTTTTTTTTCTAATAAGGGGTTGACAAAAATACAATTTTGTTAAATTAAAAACATTTACCAAATCCTCTTCTGTTACCCTGTATTTTTTCTTTGTGGATTAAATGAACAGTTATTGAGATTTTTTTACTTAAATATCCTAGATTTAGGCATTTCAACCACTGTTAAGGCCTTAAGAATCAAAATAGAGATGCGTTGCCACCCCTGAGGACTGAGATGCAATGCCTCGTTTGCAGTAAAAAGGTTCTCCGGTTCTCTACACTCACCATAAGAAACAGTAGGATTAAGCTGCTATTTTACGCTGGTATTCTGTGAGAGCGTGGTCCTCCTATCCCGGTCGAGCAAACCCATAAAATTAATAACATTATAAGGAACCATGTTAAAATTGTGTAACAGAATATTATACTGTTTTATGACAAATACATTATTGTATCACAAAATTTTAATATTTCTTATCCACTTAACCGTCCACGCTGCGCGAGTGATTCTCGCCTGACCTGTCCGCGCATTAAATGTCACTATTTTTTACGACCGCGGGAGACTGTCTGTGATACTACACTGTACTGTGATAGCTACATTCAAATGAAAAATATTTTCAAAAGAATCAAAGAATTCAAAATTTAATTTTGTTAAAAGAAAATTAGTCAAATTAAAAATAAAGGCTGAAAATAAAGCTTAAAAATGAGAATATCAAAAAAAATCGTATTTGTTTTTTATTTCGAGTTTTACAAGTAAAGTATAATACTTACTGTAGGCAATTATTTTATATTATAATAGTACATGATATTCCCTTTAAAATGACACCAATATCAATAATATCTTATGTACTCAATATACTTAAGTATATAATGTTAACTCAATATAAATTTGAATATATAAGTAAATAAATAAATAAAAATAAGTTTTAATAATTTCTAGACACATCTCAACAGATATTTCGTTTACAAATTGCTATCAACGTGTTAATAGTGAATCATTCTTTTATATTTAACATTCATTTAACACAAAAAACTGATTAGAATACATTTTAAACAACATCTAATCAATAAATGATGATTAAAATTTAGAGCTAAATTATTATATGTAAACGTTTTGGAATGGTCGTAATGATACATATTTACTAAAGAAAATATCTTCACAATTAGTTTGATGTACAATAACATTAGAAATAACGTATAAGAACAGAAAAGTTATTACATTTTTGATCGAATTTCTCACACGTTAACATTCCACAAACAAAAATGGCGCAATTTAATTTTAACTTTTTTTTTCTAAATATTTTGTTACTATTATACAGATAAAATTCACTTTCACAGATGACAAATTTCATATAGCACCATCTATAATTTTTTACTGTATTAATAACAGCTATCTTTTGCGCTGTCCACGTTTAAACCGAAAGATGTCGTTTAGTGACTAGACAGGTCAGGCAATAATTGTTTTTGGGGACTGTAGTCACCGTGGACGGTTGAGTGGTTATGTATACTTTTTTTGTGAATAGGGCAATTATAATATTGTTCACGAATAATGTTTTTTTTAAGAATACGGCTTTCAAATGAGCATACAGTCCACTCGATGGTAAGTGGATGCTGAAGCTCATTGACATCTATAATTAGGAGGAGGACCTGAGGACTAAGATGAAATGTATAATTTCCAGCAAAAAGGTTTCCTGCCCTACCCTCGCAATACAAAACCCAGCAGCAAGTTGGTATTTTACGCTGGTGTTGTGAGAGCGTGGTCCTTCTCCGGTCCTAAATAGCTGCAGCATAGCTCCACCACGTGTAAGATGTAGAAATAAAAGAAAATATTGAAATGAGTTACATATATCCTTTTAGCACTTGTCATAGCCGCCTTTTACTCAGGGGAGGGACAGAGTGAGAATGAAAGAGGGTGAGTCCACCAGCCCACCAGCTGCGGCGGCCGCAACCACACCGGCGAGTTGTACAAGATAGACAGAGATGATGAGAGAGAGAGAAGGAGGGAGGGAGGGAGGGAGGGAGGGAGAGAGAGAGAGAGAGAGAGAGAGAGTATACCTGCAGCTTCAGCGACGGCTGCCTGACGGCCTTGTCGGCGTCGGCGCGGCCCACCAGGTGCGTGAGAGAATAAGAGACAGAGAATAAAAGAGAGAGAGAGAGTATACCTGCAGCTCCAGCGACGACTGCCTGACGTCCTTGTTGACGTCGGCGCGGCCGATCACCTGCGGCGGCAGCTCCCACACCGACGAGTTGTACAAGATAGACAGCGAGAGAATAAGAGAGAGAGAGAGAGAGAGAGAGAGTATACCAGCAGCTCCAGCGGCGGCTTACTGACGGCCTTGTCTACGTCGGCGCGGCCGACCATCTGCGGCGGCCGCTCCCACACCGACGAGTTGTACAAGATAGACAGTGAGAGGATAAGAGAGAGAGAGAGTGTACTTGCAGCTCCAGCGGCGGCTGGCTGATGGCATTGTCGACTTCGACGCGGCCCACCAGCTGCGGCGGCTGCTCCCACACCGACGAGTTGTACAAGATAGATAGATAGTAAGATAGATAGATAGATAGATAGATAGAGAGAGAGAGAGAGAGAGAGAGAGAGAGAGGGAGAGGGAGAGTATACCTGCAGCTCCAGAGGCGGCTGCCTGACGGCCTTGTCGACGTCGGCGCGGCCCACCAGCTGCTGCGGCTGCTCCCACACCGACGAGTTGTACAAGATAGACAGCGAGAGAATGAGAGAGAGAGAGAGAGAGTGTGTATCTGCAGCTCCAGCGGCGGCTTACTGACGGCCTTGTCTACGTCGGCGCGGCCCACCAGCAGCGGCGGCCGCTCCCACATCGACGAGTTGTACACGATAGACAGAGAGAGAATAAGAGAGAGAGTATACCTGCAGCTCCAGCGACGGCTGCCTGACGGCCTTGTCAACGTGGGCGTGGCCCACCAGCTGCGGCAGCCGCTCCCACACCGAAGACTTGTACAAGATAGATAGAGGGGATAATAGAGAGAGAGAGAGAGAGTATACCTGCAGCTCCAGCGGCGGCTGGCTGACAGCCTTGTCAACGTCGGCGCGGCCCACCAGCTGTGGCGGCCGCTCCCACACCGACGAGTTAGCCGTTGGGTTGTAAAAGAACACGCGCCCGTCGCCGGTCCACACCACGCACCTACACAACCCGACCAAAAGACTTAATTAATTTATCTATAATAAGTGTAAATTACCTTAATTAAAATTAGAAAAAAAATAACCCCACAAAAAATAAAGGTGGGTAAATTATATCGCGGCGTGAGCGACCGTTGGGTAAAAATGCCGCCGTACGTTCAAAGACACAGTCGCCGAAGACAGTGTAAATTAAAAAATGTTTTGCTAATGCATTTGTGGTAATACCTTTGGTGACCTTGTCAAATTGGACAAGCTGTTTTTTTTTATATACTAGCTGACCCGGCGAACTTCGTACCGCCTAACAGTCGATTCTTTATTTTTTAATACTTATTCTGCTATTCGGGACACCGGGTCAGCTAGTAAAATAAAAAAAGAAAATAGAAAGATGATAAGTCACAATTACATTAAGTTAAAAAATAAAAATTATAATTGTTTTGCCTTCCCGGAACCCCTCCACTAATATTTAAACTTTATGGTATGGTATTAAAGTTCAAATTGACTTTTAAGTATTATTACGAATCTTTTGTATGGGAATATAGAAAAATGTTGTTTTAATACTTTTTCAGGCAATTTTTTAAATTTTTCTCACCGTAGGAACCATCTTCGTACTTCAAGGAATGTTATAAAAAAAAAAGAATTAGCGAAATCGGTTCAGCTGCTCTCGAGATTTGCGCTTAGCAACACATTCAGCGATTCATTTTTATATTATAGATAATCTAGGCATTCATTCTGTAACGTGGTGCACGATTTTTATTTATAGGGACGCTCGAATTAAAAAACTAATACGCGTCTTTCATTGACCTTACAACCAAAGAGAATATAATCACTTCGTTTATTTACATTATAGTTAGCAGCATAATGCTACTGTTTCGTATGGATAGTGTAGAGAACCGGAGATCCTTTTTACTAGAAACGAGGCATTCCGCCTTAGTCTTCAGGGGCGACAGTATCCACGCACTACCTGGAGGACTGTGTGTTCATCTGTCACCGTCATTATCCAAAAAAAATAAAGTTTGTTATTGTTTGATAAGACTGACCAGGGCGTGCCCGATATGGGCGTGCTCGATATGGGCCGGCTGCGGTCCTGTTTTGCCTTCTCGCGCTCGGCCTTCTCCCGCTCGGCCTTCTCGCGCTCGGCCTTCTCTCGCTCCTGCTGCTCGCGCTCCTGCTGCTCGCGTTCGCGCTCGCGCTCGCGCTCGGCCGCCCGGCGCGCCGCCTCGGCTGCCGCTGCGGCCGCCGCGGCCTGCGCCTCCGCGTGCGCTTCCACGTCGATCACTGTACACCAAATTAACATTCAATCAAATCAAATCAAATCAGATCATTTTGTGAACATAGGTTAATTTACAGATCTCGATTTATGTACATAATAAACATAAGGCATACAAAATATAAAATTATCAAATGGAACATTCATAAAGTTAACAACTTGATTATTATTGAATTAAAGTCCACTACACAAGAACTAGCTGCAATCCAAAAAGAAATGTTATTTTAAAATACAATAAAATCAATAAAATTATTGTATTATTTATTTTTTGTTAGTTCACGTATTAAACTTAACAAACTCGTTTACATGACATATAACATTTAACTTAGATAACATATTTTAATTTCCTTTTTTTACAGTTTTTTAATAAACTGTTTTGACATTAATTTTTTTAATTTTTTAATCTGGAGGCACTGCAGTGCCCCCGCCAAGCCGAGCAAAAAAGCGGCACGGCCGTACCATCCTTTTCTCGAAGCAGTTCAGGCCATTTTCGAAACCCTATAACTTCGTTGTGGATAAAACAAGAAGCCTGAATTTTCAAGTAGGCATTGTATAAACTAGGTGTATTTCAAATTTCATTAAATATGAACCAGTACTTTAAGAATTATAACTAGTCGAAATTTCTTAATTTTGTCACTCACTGACTGACCGATCATCAAATCGATCTCTAAGGCACTTCTAGCAGACATAGAAGCTTCAAATTTGGAATACAATTATTGTTTAGTATATAAATCAAGGAAAAATTCAAATATTTTACAATATCAGTCCATTTTTTGAGATACACCAACTGCATAAATAACTTTGTAATCCCATACAACTATATAGGATAACAAAGTTACATTTGCAGTGAATGAATCAGTATACGTATATATGTATAATATAATGGAATAATAGGTGTAGATAGGTACGCAGATAGAACTATCTACAAAAAGAGATGAGATGCCATCAAAAACATTACTTGTAAAAAAACCCAAGTCTCGCAATTCAGTTCTATCGTAAAAAGTTGTGAGATCCATGTAATACCAAGTCGGTTAATTTATTCAGTCCCTACTTAAGGGTCTTTCTGTGTTAAGTTATTACGTAATTAGCTACTTAACAACATCTTATAGTGATCATATCAATATTAAAAATCTTTTATGTTTTAAATAAATAAATTGACTTGGCAATCGCACTGAACAATCTAATTTAATATAATATGTATTACTTGAGAGATACATTGCAATTAACCAACTTGGTATTACATGGATCTCACAACTTTTTACGATAGAACTGAGTTGCGAGACTTGGTTTTTTTTACAAGTTATGTTTTTGATGGCATAAGGATATTAACGGATGGAACCATGAAGTGAATTGGCCTCAATATGCACTATTTTGTAGTATGACCTACTCCGATACTGGTATTGATATCTCTTAGGAATCAAATATTGTACAACATATTATTTGGGTGTCAAAAGGTATTTGTTAGATTAGTTGTCACATAACTGAATAAAACTACTTTTACGGATTTTATAGCGTTTAATTAAGTTATTTTATATTCCCGACGTTTCGGTTGCTTTCCAGCAACCGTGGTCACGGGGGACTGTATATAAAATAACATAATTAAACGCGATAAAATCCGTAAAAGTAGTTTTATTCAATGTGTAGTGTTCGCGTAAATATAAGAAATCATTATGTCACATAACTTTTATATGTTAAATAATTTTGGATATTATGCAAATTTATGTATGGATATGTGTATTATTTTGTTTTATATTTAATTACTATATTATATCTTTTAACATTTTACACACTTAATTGATATTTTTATCTCCGCATCAGCCAAAGGTTGACAGGTAAAAAATGTCTCAGGCCTAAGTCTGCCTATATGTTGTATGAAGTTCAATAAATTATGTTAATTTGATAATGATTTCATATGTGTATGCAAATTGAATGTCCATCATCAAAATACACTACGTCGGAAGCGGTCGTGACGGAAAAATCTTACACTTTTTGTCGCCTAGCCCCCATCCGCCAAATTCGTACCGTCCGATAAGGAACTTCGTTCCAAAAAAAACAAGACTAAAACCAATTTTTTTATTTCTGTAAGCATTGTATGATGCAACTGTACTGCCCAAGGTGGCCACTCCGAGTGGGCTTGGCGAGCCCACTTCGGATGTGTGTCGGTGGTGGGCTGCGGTGAGAGGGGTGTCCTCTCCCCCTACCGCTGCAGCCGAGGTGAAGTCGCGGAGAAGGAGAAGTGTTGGTATGGCGATGCGCCACTCGCACTATCCTCCGTGACTCTGACGGGGCCGCACCGTTGATGCGGTGGTGGTGGGGCCGCGGGGGGAGAGGAGTGTCGGTATTGAAACGTGGTTGGCGGCGGAGCCAGAGACCAGATCCGCCGTTGGGGTCAGGAAAGCGGGTGTTACTAAGCGCTCGATTTTCCTAGCACCATGGCCTCCGCGTATCGGACTCGGGGGGGTCCTATACGCAGGTGGTCCAACTCCACCTGCGTATAGGACCCCCCCTGTCGGCTGTGGAGGGGGGCGTGCCTTGTGTTCCTGGTGCGCCTTGCCTGAGAAGAAGAATGGGGAGGAGAGGTGGTCCTCCCTCGAGAAGAAGCTGCCATGGGGCGGCCGGCGCTGGTGGCGTCGCGGATGTGTGCGAAAGCGTTCCCGTGGCCCTGCCAATATGCGGCGAAAGTGGAACACCATGGGATTTTATTCGGTGAGAGTTCGACATAACCCGTCCTTGCCCCCGCAAGGCGGTTTACCGTAGGGATTTCCCCATATAAAAAAAATATCATAAGGTCCCGGGTTCGAATGCCTAGTCGAAAAAAATCATCTATTGAGTTTTTCTGCTGCCCGAAGTCAGAGAGTCGGCGGTGTTTCATCCCCATGGCTCGGAAAGCACGTAAAACCTTTGTTTTTTTTGCCTATCTTTCACAGATCGTATCGGATTATGTCCCATCGGATTATATCTCTTATCATCACATGTATGTAGCACCGTTTAAACTCTATATGCATTAACTTACCTTCCACCTTACTCTCGTTGTCCAAATCAATTTTCTCTATCTTCTTTTCAGGCACTTCTCCCTTTTCCGCAGCAATCTTTGCTTGCAGCTCTGTTTAAATAAAATTTTCGAATAAAGTATATTATATGTGAACATCAAAAATTGTCATATGTATTTTAGAGGGGAATAAAACTTATTTCATTCGAACTGTATTAAGATGTGCATGAAACAAAATAAGTGGTAAACTTAAAATTTTGTACACCCAACTTCAATATGAATATAATTTATTGTAGATTTTTTTAAAGCCACCCGATTGATTTCAATAAAATTTAAATCCCACCTGGGTAGCATACCGTTTGAAACAAGAAAAAAATTTTGCAAATCGGTTTAGGCGTCTTCGAGTAATCGGTGAACATACATAAAAAGATTCCGACGAATTCATAACCTCCTCCTTTTTTGAAAAAAAAGGAAAAAAATGTGTTTATGATAATTTTGTAGGCATGTTCATCACGCTCATAACTGTATGCTGATTAATGAATACAGCCAACCGTTAACATCAGAACAAAGAATACTACCTGTTGGATGTGGCTTCTGCTGTTGTAGGATCTTCCTTAATCCTCAATCTGCCTATAAGTGTACGATTCTTTTTGACTTTATTGTGGTTGACTCACCCTCAAGCTGCTGCATGGGTGCCGGCTTATCCCACACTGATTCCTGCTTGCTCGAGTTATAGTAGTAGGGTCGACCATCTGGGGCTCTGTGGGTTGTCCACTCCGCTGCTTGGGCGGCCAGTTCTGGAGGGATCACCTGTGTAACAATTTGGGTTTTATCACAATTCAGACAGATACACCACCCCCTTCTAATCACCAATTCGTAAACAATCCAGAGCTGCACATGGCAATACTAGATTGCAGATAACTCACACCATTGTCCATTGTTTCTATTCACAGGCCAGGATAGTATGGGATGGATTTATCACCATCTATTGGAAACACCAAGATCTTCCTCTCATTTCCCTTATACCCAGTTCCTATATTCATAAGAGATTTCATTCTAAGTTACCATTGTTTTTCATAAAATAAGTGCCTGTGAAAATTGTTTCTATTAAAAAAAAATTTATTTCATTAACTTACATGTTAAAACTTAAAATGAAACCAAATTTAAGTAGTGTAAGGTGTTAAACAAACCTAATCATACATTGTAAAACCCAAGCCCAACAGATCATTAGGATTTTCTCCCGTATTCTGGAAGCAGTTTACTAACATAAAGTGCACAAGGACAAACATCAAGACCCGGAACAATTATTTGTAGACCATAGAAATACTTGTTCCGTGCGAAGACATGCAGAAAGTTGATGGAAGTTAGTGAGTTTGTGGCATTTTTTGAGAGATAGGCCTCCCTTATAGAATAGTTCAGTAATTAAATTTTAAAGGGCTGTAATGACATACTAAATGGTCTAAAATAGGTCGTAAGGAAGAACCCAATGATATAAAGACAGTAATCAAGCATTGGCACGCAGGAAGTCGATGGATGCAGGTGGCTCAGGATCATGCTTTGTTGCATTCCTTGGGGGAGGCCTAGGTTCAGCAGTGGACTTGTGAAGGAATTATGATAAATGATGAATATAGCATTAATCTACTTTTACCATACTTATGGGATTATAAACTACTGACCCGCCCTGGCTTTACCTGGATAGGCTCTATTAATGTGGCATTATTTGAATTTAAGGTGATATGATCAAAGACCATTTACTTTTTCTATTTTTCGATTTCTCATAAAATATCTGTTTTTCGGATATATAGACAAGATCACTCCCGGCATTGCTCTCTATCTGTTCCTGAAGTTTCCTTACAATCGGTTCCGCCATACCAAGCTTAATATTGTGTAAGAATATACACTACCCCATATCATCCTGTGGGTGTCATAAGAGGCCACAGAAGGAAACTAATCAGCAGATAGGCAACAGCGTCTTCCTAACAACAACTAAAAATAAAAAAACTGTGGTTGGCAACCCGCTTGCTAAGCGTGACAACTATGGCAAATATCTCCCTTATGAGGCAATCTAAGGAAGGCCTATGTTCAGCAGTGGACTTTAATAGGCTGTAATGGATACCAAGATTAGCCCAGACAGAGACAAAAATTGAAAAAAAAAAGTTATTTGTGTCTTAATGCCATGCAAATAAACTAGATATACACTAGATTTGCCCTCAATAAAGTCACACAGACAATTCATTTTTATTTATATATACAAAGATCGGTACTGAGAGTGTAAGTACCTCTTACAATCTATGATTTTCAGACTGACTCATCGCCAGTAACAATTTATGAAGAAATAAAGATAGTAACTCACTGTCTCTTCCTTCTTGACTACAGGTTGCACTACAGCTTCAACTATAGTAGGTTCAGCTATCGTCACTGGTGTGGTCACCATTTGTGGCATTTGAGTTGCTGCACCTGAAATTAAAATAAAGTCTTGATATCTCAAGGGCAAAGCGGTCACTCAAAAGCTTACTACTCGTGCTGATAAAGAATACGATTATATTATTTTATTAATTAGGAGAATTCTAAACAATAACACATATGACAAATGAACAAACACAGTTTACCTGATGGTAATTGGATGATGTGCCACTTGGACATCTATATCTTGGATTAACAATCAAAATGCAGATGCATAGTCACCCATGAGGACTAAGATGGAATGTCATGTTTCCATCAAAAAGGGTCTCTGGTTCTGTACACTCACAATATAAATACCAGCAACATTAAGCTGCTATTTCACACTGGTATTATGTGAGTGTAATCCTACCCCGGTCATACTCTTACATACAATAATCTGATTTTCTTGTCTGCATGTACCTACCATGCTGGACGTGCGCAAGATGAGAAAATAGAGTAATTTTCATCATATTCAGACCATAGATTAAGTTACTAAAAATAAATACGATTTCTAAATTATTTACGTTCCAATCATTATATTCAGTTAATAATTACATAATTCAATTGCTAAACGAGCATAGTATGATATTTGGACTCAATGCTCGATGGTCACGCTTGTTTCTATTAAAAAAAAAAATGCTTACTTTCTTGGATAAACATCTGTGCTAGTTCGACAATATTTATTTTACGTTATTATACCGATTATAATAAAATCTTATAAAAACCCACCGGTATTACCTCAGTAGCATATTATATTTTATAATTAATATAATCTCTATATATATAAAATTATTATTATAATCTCTATATATAAAAACCATATGCGAGTTTCGTGGAACATTCGGTGGTAACGAAGTTCCTTTCATAGTATATTATTATTGACAAACGTATTATAATACTAGCTGTGCCCGCGGCGTAGCTCGCGTATATAGGTTTTACTTAATGAAATTGACGTTTAGTTAAGAGAATATTAAACGATTTATATCATTACTGTATCAATAAGTGGTAACAAAATAATCGTTATCCTCAAAGTTCTAAGTCGTTTATGATAGAGCTTCTGTGTAAACGACGTTAGAAGTAGACAGCCGGGGCGTAGGTACACAAATAGGTTATGGGGCCTACTAACGCGGGAAAAAGCAACATAGTTGGCCATGTGCAAAACAGTTAGTACTGAGGTCCACTCCTGGAACGCGTAAAGTTTGAGCTTGCGCTTTATATACGGTCGTCGCATAACACACGCTGACTGGGAACTGAACACGCTTAAAACTGAAAGGAAAGTTATTGTTGCATAGCTTGGGTGGGCGTTTCTTTTCTGGTTTCTGGTGATGTTTGTGCTGTTAGCCTACACGGCTCTTTCAACTTCATCGTACTCATGGGTACAAATTTCTTCAGTGAGTCTCAATACTATTAAAAAAAAGCGAAAAATCTTAACACCGCAATTCTTTTTTTTGCGCCCAAAGCGAGGCTACCCTCTGGAAGCGTGGGAGGGAGGTGGTGAATGCTCATAGCATACCACGGCAGCCGGCAGTGTGGTTATGTGGGACTCACTTTGAAGAAGTGCCTACCCGCTAAACACCACCTGTGGGACTGGCGTTGGCCATTATGGCCTTCCTGCCGAATCGGACGCGACCCCCTTAAGGAAAAAGGGGCACCACCGCAATTCAGAAAAAGTTATAATTTATACAACGCGATCTATTACGTTCTTTGTGAGAAAACATCCTTTTTTTTAATTTAAGGTAAACATATTTTTTGTTTACTGTGTTCTAAGTATATTATAATAGAACGTTTTTGTTTACACACGAATCTTTTTATTACTATTTCTGAGTTTTGTGGCGCCTTTAAACAGATTCGAACCTAGATTTCAAAATAATAATCATAACTTTCGATAGAATTAACCAATTTTAATAAAACAAAGATTAAAAATGAACTCGAATATACGCTTTATGGTTTTCTTAACGACATCTTTACAAAAAAAAAATGGTTACTCAAAACGTTATGCGTTCATAATCAAACAGACAGACCAACAGACAGACAATTCTAAGAGATATAAAAATGTACTTATTTAATGATTTTCAGTCCCCATAATGATTTTAATCACAAACAAACCTACTATACAATGTACATAAACAGACACAACATGTTATCACCATGTTTATTATATGTATAGATTTAAAGAGAGATGGCGCTGTTAATATCAATTCTAAAAATAAAAGAGATTAATTGACGCAATTGATACATTATATAAAACATAAAAACACTTATAAACACTAGTGCGTGCATAGTAAGCAAAAAAGAAAGTTTGATCCTAGCCGAAACCAACGAAATTGTTAATAGCACTTTTAAAATTTTATTTACCAATTAGATTACTCGGCGGTAAAGAATAATTGAGTTTATCAACACGCAGTAGGGCAACGATTAATATAAAGATTAGCAGCAAATATGAAAACTCATCTACAGGAAAATACCACAACCTGCCTTTTTATATAATATTTTTACAACACCGCCATCTATCGATGATATTGGTTAACTATTGTACATTAGACTTAGATAATAAGATTAATATATTTTTGTATATACTTATTACATTCTTTTTCTTTAATATTTTGTTTACTGCATTTTAGATATAATTATATCATTGTAGAACATAATTTAATTACGATTTATAATATGATATTAGTTTAAAATGCACTTGATTACTCAACCAAAGCCACCGTTGAGCAAATTCGTACCTATACTTCCCTACCCATACTTCAGAATATTTATCATAACTTTTGATGGAACGAACTGATTTTAATGAAATAAAGACTATATGTAACCCGAAGATACACTTTATAATTTCCTTAACAATTCTCATGATATAAATTAGTACTTTATATGTGATATGTTAACAAACAAACAGACAGACAGACAGACAATTCTAAAAACGGTAGAATTGTATTTAATTACTTATTTTTAGTATCTGTCGATCACACATTTATTACAAAAATATAAAATGTACAGACGTCTGCTATTTACATTTTTATTATATGTATAGATTCCAATACAAATTATGAATTATTAGCGTCCATTAAAATGAAGCGTCATTTAAAATAAAATAATATTTCTCAAGATAAAAAAATGCGACGGAGATGGATATTATTGCATCTCGCTTCCTTATATATATTATAAACTTCCTTATCGCTCCTTCCGCCAAGGCCGTAAACACTACGTTATAAGGGGTCGAGACGGAAAAATCGTACACTTTTTCTCGCTTAGCCCCCATTCGCCAAATTCGTACCATGTGATAAGGAAGTTTGTTCCAAAACTCAACTGCTGTCCGTTAGTCTCGCTAAAAATCGAAAACGGCTCGATCGATTTTGATGAAATTTTTTGTGTGTTTAATGGGTTCCCAGATGGTTTAGATTTACATTGGGACCCGACAGATGGCGCTGTTGTCGAGATCCAGAAATCATCCGTGCGAAGCCGGGGCGTATCGCTACTTTAAAGTAAATATCGTGAATTAAAGTAGTTTGAAGTACAAGCATTTACTCAAATCAAAAACATAAAGCTTGAGTTTCACCAAGTGACAACAATGGCAGGTATAAATTAAATACACTTACCTTTGTCTGGTACAGCAGCGGAGACGAGTGCGTTCGCGGCACTGGCCGGGCTGGGCCCAGCGTTGGGCGGGCCGCTGTGTTGCGTCACGCCAGGGGGCGCCCAGCCCCAGTTGCCCCACGGACCCGGGAAACCGCCACCACCTACAATTTTTTTTTATAATAATCATGTGCCATCAGATTCAAGACCCTAAAACTTGTAACCCTAAATAGAGTAAGAGTAGTCTCTCGTAGAGAAATAATTGATAGAATTGACACCAAAATTCTTATCTTATATACCAAGTACAATAATATCCCTAAACAATTTGTATTTGATAAGAAATATAAGATACAATTAAACGAAACTAACCAGTAGGAGATTAAACCAAAATAAAAAGAACTTTCATAGATGGTTCTAAAACAAATGAAGGTACTGGATCTGGAAATTACACTTAACATCCACATATGTACACCGCCGGGTGAGCAACACAGTCTTTCAGGCAAAATGTATGGGCATCATCCAAACGGACAATACAATAGATGCCAGGAAGGTAAAATACTTCTCCATCAGAATACTGACCGACATCATGGCGGCACTACAAGCTCTGAGTTACAATGTTGTGAACTCGGAACTAATAATATGAATGCCATCAACAACTAAATGAAGTATGTAAACACAGCAATGTGACTGCCATAGATCTAGGAACACAGTGGATCCAAAGGCAACTGCAGACGACAGACGAACTGGCCAGGAGAGGATTGGCTCTGGCCGATATAGGATCGGGACCAATCATACCAATCGCTTTTGCTAACATTTGTTCACTAGTATGTAAACACTTTCACTAATCAACATACACAGCTTTGGAAAAATCTAGTAAACTGAAAAAAAATCTAGCTGGCCAATCTCCGGAGACTGGCCATGTGTGACCGAAATTCGGTCTGGATATTAATATTATTACATACCACGCATACCTCTAGGCATCAAGTCATTCATAACTTCTATAAGGAACTAGGTCTGCTAAAATCAATCTTATATTTAATCATATTGACAATTTTCCCCTTTTTTAAATTTGGTTGAGAAGTATACAATCATACCGCTATGCTGTGTGGAAGGTGCTACATCACCAGGAGGGGCATCGTCACTATCCACTGGACTTGCTGACTCTTGTACATCCTTGTTGCCTCCTGTATGATAAAATAATCATCATTTACATTGAAATAAAATAAAATACAACAGTATTATTATAGGTGGTAGAGGCTAGCTGCAGTAATTTTACAGTTGCAGCACAAATGGGTCAGCTCAGCTGGAAACAAACTATGTTCTCACAGAATACTAGTGTAAAATTGCTTGTTTTTTTTTAAAAACAAAAACGTTACCTCCACACTGGGGTTTTCTCCTGTTTCGCGGGTGCTTTTTACATACATAGATTTCACAAGGACAAACATCCAGAACCAGAGCAATTATTTGTAGGTCATACAAATAGTTGTTCCGTGCGGGATTCGAATCTGCGCTGTAACTCATTGCTAAGCCACTGCACCACGAAGCCATGAAATAATAAAAATAGCAGCTTCATACTTCTGTTTTTTGTATGGTGAGTGTAGAGAACTGGAGATCTTTTAACTTAATCAATGATAGATGAAGTTATCTATGTGCCCTAGACTCCACATAACATCAGGTGAACTGCATGCTTGTTATTCACCATACATTACATATACTTATATATATTATGCATAAAATGACATTACTATTTGCACAGAATATTAAAAACGCGAGGGAAGAGGCAAAATGCATAATTTGTACTACTAGGGCCAATAATCTTCTCTAATTAAGAAATAAAATGCTTTATGTTACTCTCCATCAGCTTGTGTAAGAACCATAAGGTATTATAAACAGAGACCATATTTCTTTTAATCTACAAATTTTCAGAATTGTAACGCATATTCACCTACTTAATATATAATAATAATACTGTGATCAGTTTCAATTTGCGCTATAAACTTATAAAAATAGAGAGCATTATGTCTTTTATCCAAAAAAAATTAAGATTGACGAACTAGAGCTGTTACTCGATGCTAGATTTAGATTATATACATGGCTGTGTTAAGTAAATATAGAAAATTGCAGTTGATTAATTTTCCGACAATTGAATTTAAAGGACTTTCATTACAGCCATACAAATTGACTACTTAACATAGGGCTCCGCTAATGACTGCCATGGTCTTGAACCATCAACATCCCGCTTACCAGGAGGTTGCCACACGATAACTGGTCTTTTGCATAGGTTCAGTTCTTTAGGCTATGGCCGAGCTATTTTACATTCTTACTTGCCATATTATATTTGCCACCCTTGGCAGACGGGATGGCAACTGCAGTTTTTTATTTTGAGTTGTTATCAGGAAGATTCATAAAACAATAAAATATTAATAATTATACAATGAAATATTTTGTCACATCAATTTATAATGCAATGTCAATAAAAACTAATAACAATCCTAATATGCCCTTAATTAAATTACATCTTAAATATAAAGTATAAATAGTACATAGTCAACGAAATTAAATTGTCGAATTATTAATTGTCATATCATCAATAATTTTATAGAATAGAGTCAGCAGACGTGTTGTACTGTCTGCAAATAGGTCAATATCATCGTGCTGAGTGAGTATGTCCCCTATAAGTATTAATGCTCGATTTGCTATCTAGAAGACGCGGCCTACGGCGTGGAACCACCGTTCCTCCATTATCTCTCTGCAGGTACCTGGGCACCAACAAACTGATTCTTCCCATAACCGACTTGCAATCCAACTTGTGGTAAATAATAGAAAGATAATGCCTAATAGTTGACATCACCCTCCTAAACATTAGGGTTTCAAAATCAACCATACCCAAGACGAGCAAGGAAAGATGGATACAAATAAAGGTAGTACCCATGATTTTTCTTGTAAAGCCAACGAGCAAACTTACGTTGTATCCTCTCTAACAAGAGAGTATACTTTTTCTCGTAAGGATTCCAGACCACAGATGCATACTCTAGTTTACTTCGAACATATGCATTGTACAAAATTTTAGCCACCCTTATATCATCAAAGTCAAAACCCAAAGTCTTACTAGCTAACTTGCAAATGGATGCCATATGATTGTGAAAACTTAATTTAGTATCTAATATTAAACCTAAGTCACCTATGTCATATACTCTTACCAAAGGCGCGTCGTATAAGTTATAATTAATAATTACAGGATTCTGTTTTAATGCAAAAGTGATAACCTTGCATTTAGTCACATTAAGAGGTAGATGGTTCAGTTCACTCCATTTCGATACCGCATCTATGTCCTGTTGAAGAGCCTGTGCATCAGCAACACTACCAATCGCCAAATTTAATTTTAGATCATCTGCGAATAACAGACACTCCTCAGATTTTACTTTGGTAGGCAAGTCATTTATAAAAATTAAAAACAGCATAGGGCCAAGAGTACTACCCTAACTCACCCCAGATCTAGTGAAATAATCAGCGGATTCAAAACCACTTACTCTAACAAATTTACGACGATTATCCAAATAGCTAGCGAAGAGTTGAAGAAGTTTCGGAGTAAAACCTAACTTAGCTAGCTTCTGTAACAGTATGTCATTACTCACCAGGTCAAAAACCTTCCTGAAATCGAAATAGGCAGCATCTACCTGTCTCCTAGAATTCATCTCAGCACAGACAGTCCACGTGCACTATCAAGTTAGTAGTCGTTGAACGATTCTTTCGAAACCCATGTTGACTCTCATGCAAAATGTTATCTACCTGATTCCTAATGCGAAAGTCCAACATGGGATTCAAATATCTTCGCCAGAACCGAAAGCACCGCAATAGGTCTAAAAGCAGAAACATCTTTTCCAGGTTCTCCCTTTGGAACAGGTGTCACTCTAGATAGTTTCCATTGTTTTGGATATTTAGCCTGACTAAGGGATAGATTAAAAATAAACAAGAGCGGCGAACGAAAAGCTGGCGCACAATCCTTGACCAGAAAAGCGGGAATGCGATCAGGGCCACCAGCAGATTGTGGCTTTAGGCGTCTTATTGCCAATCTAAAATGACTTTCGTCTACTTGCCTGACTGAGATAACATTATTTGTGAGTTAGCCGCATTTTCGGCACCTACATAATTTAATAGGGGCTTTTCACTATGGAATACTGAGCCAAAATATTCAGCAAAGGCATTAGCCGTATCTTGACCTATTACTTCTGCACCTTTATAACTATACGTTTCAGTATGTCGTCTTTCTTTCTTTTTATCACTAACATATTTCCAAAAATATACCGGATCGTCAAATATGCATCGTCAATTAAGGTTTTAACCCTCCATCGATAAAAGCTAAACAGTTCTTTGTTAAATAATTTGCCTTCTTGCTTAAATCTCTTAAGATGAAAATATTTTTTTATAGTATTTTCTATGATCTCAGGCGTGAACCACTTGGGATAGACATACTGACGATCATTTGAAAAAAGCTTTTTATTTGGTACATATAAATTAATATTTTTTTTTCAATTTGTTGTAAAAAAAATTTACGACCGAATTTACGTCTGTAAAAGTCAAAAAAGATGATGCTGCCCATCCTCATGTTTCATTTCCCTCTGGATTTGACATGGTGATATGATGGATATTCTTATAAAATGACACTGATGTTTATAAAGTTGTAACATAAATAATTCTTACCATCTTTAATCCATGGTGGAGGCTGGGTCATGAACGGCGGCACGGAGCCCTGAGCTGGACCTGGTGCCACTCCAGGAGGAAGCATACCTCCGGGCATCATGCCATTCATAACCCCCATTGGAGGACCACCACCCATTGGAGGGCCACCACCCATAGGAGGGCCACCACCCATTGGAGGGCCACCACCTATTGGAGGAGGCCCCCCGCCCATTGGAGGTCCTCCACCCATTGGAGGTCCTCCACCCATTGGAGGTCCACCACCCATAGGAGGAGGTCCACCCATTGGAGGGCCACCGCCCATTGGAGGTCCACCACCCATTGGAGGTCCACCACCCATTGGAGGTCCACCACCCATTGGAGGTCCACCACCCATTGGAGGTCCACCACCCATTGGAGGTCCACCACCCATAGGCGGCCCACCACCCATGGGAGGTCCTCCCATCGGAGGCCCGCCCATTGGAGGACCACTCATCATAGACTGCGGCCCATTCATGCCTTGCATTTGGTGACCTGTGGAGACAATTGATTAAGTAGTTAATAGTTTAGATATATCACCATCGGCGTTTTACTGTCTGTATTGAAATCACGTGAAAATCGATCTTAATTATTCATTTACTTATGCTTTTTCAAATCTTAATCAAATTTAAATCAAACTTCCGAAATAAACTTGCAATAAATTCGTTTTTTTTTTAAATAAAATTAAAGTGAAAAGCTAACTTACAGTCCACTACTGCTACTGTTACTACAGCCCATTGACAACTGCAGCCAAATTCAAACAAAGAAGGCTGCAGATGCGTTATTGCCTCTGAGCACTAAAGCCGCGTCTCCACCAAAGTTTTGTTGTCAACACATTTGGCAACAAAACTTGTTTCGATTGTCGGCGGCAACATCAAAGGAATACGCTTGTTGCCGACATTTGTTCCCTCAGTGGAGACGCTTGTTGACAGAAACATTTGTTGGCAAAACGTGTTGGCAAATGTTGTGTTGACAACAAAACTTTGGTGGAGACGCGCCATAAGATGGACTGCCTCGCAGCATGTAATTATACTAGATTTATGGCCGGAACACAGCAGTGCAGGCGCTGGTATTTAGCTGTAGAAATAGGTAAAGAGGTGGTACCTACACAGACAGGAAAGAGAGCCACAGAGAAAAAGAGTCCCACTACTATTTTTTATAGGATAGGGTGACAAATGAGCACACAGTCCACCTTTTTTTTATAGGATCGGGTGACCAACGAGCACACAGTTCACCTGATGGTAAGTGGTTACTGTGACCCATAGACATCTACATCTATCCTCAATAAAGACTCAAGATGCAGATGCGTTGTAACCCGTGAGGACTAAGATGGAATGCCTCTTTGCCAGTAAAAAGGGTCTCTGGTTCTCTACACTCACCATACGAAACACAGCAGCGTTAAGCTGCCATTTTACGCTGGTTTTCTGTGAGAACGTGGTCCCTCCCCGGTCGAACCGACCCATTCGTGCTACAATCATAATATAGCTGCAGCATGGCTCTACCACGTGTAAACCTGAAGGTAAGTGGTCACTGTGGCTCATAGACATCTACATCTATCCTCGTTTGCGAATCAAAATGCAGATGCGTTATTTATGTTTACCCATGAGGACTAAGATAGAATGCTTCTTTTCTAATAAAAAGAACTGGTTCTCTATACTCACTATACGAAACACAGCAGTGTTAAGCTGCTATTTTATACTGGTATTCTGTGAGAGCGTGGTCCTTCTCCGGTCGAGCCGACCCATTCGTTGATACAACTATACTACTAATATAGCTGCAGCAAGGCTCTACCATATATGAACATAGTAATATTCAAACTATATATTCATATTCCAAATGGCTTACCTTTTACTGCATTGGTCAATAAACAGATAATAAGACAGCTTTTCATCTTAAATTAAATTAAAAAATTTAATAGCCTCCGTAACAAAATAGATCTTCAAACGGCTGAACAGATTTTCTTGAAAAATGGCTAAGAACACTCTTGAATAAAAAATTAGCAAAATCGGTTTGTCCGAAGAAAGCTATGATGTCACAGACAGACACAGACACACAGATACACACTACAAACTTATAACACCCCTCTGTTTTGATTGGGAGTTAATGAATAGAACTAAATGAACTGTATGTTCATTTGTAACTTCAATATTATAAAAATGAAACCATGGGTGGTTTTGAGCAATGTAAAAGTTTAATTATTGGTAATACAAACAAATTACCTGAAGCGGCCATAGCTTCCATCTCAGCTTGCGTAATGACCTTGCAGGTGGGACTCTCCTGCGGCCTCGTCCAGGTTGTCTCTCGCGTCCGTGAATGGTAGTAGTATGATTTGCCGTCCTCTGTCTTTGTCTCTACCCATAACTCTGGAGCAGGCTGTGGGGAATTTTCCTCATTATTGTAACCAATACAAAACAAAGAAAAAAAAACAGAGCACAGTGCAGATTTCAAGTGATGCTATAACCAAGTCACTCAACTCATTGTAAGAACTCGCACTCAATGTTAGCAACTCAAATTTTTCTAAATTCATAGATTGCTATAAAAATTTCCGTAGAATTCCATTGATACTCTTGTTGTAAGTTCAACTGTAGTATAACATGGAATCGAGCTGCACATATAAGAAAATACTCTTTTCATTTCCACAAAAAATTTATTAAAAATTAATTTTTTTCTTTTAACTAAATTATTTTTGTAAAAAAACATATAAAATAATTAACACTACAAATTTGTGGAAAGATAAACAAAAAAATTACTTAATTTCAACTCAAATTCCGTAGTTCCGTAGATGATGAAAAATTTTCGTAGATGTATGGAAAAATCCGTAGAGTTGGCAACACTGCTCATACTTACATACTCATGCATCTAAAATCATTTAACTTTAAATAATGGGGAAGCTGTCGCCATATATGAGGCGATATGCTATATTCTTTCCCGTAAAATTCCTAACTCAGCTATATTTACTAATTCAAAAAGCTGCCTAATGTCATTACAGAGCAATATATTTAAAATAAAGTCTTCTTCTTCTGTAAGAATGCCTGCTGTCTGGGCGTGTCTATGTAACGTAATACAACACAACGAACGCAGAAAGCGAACGCGGAACGGATCCCTTAGAAGAATAGCAAACAATGTAACTCACCATATTTGGTGGCGGCATCCCAGGTGGACCGGCGAAAGGCGGCGGCTGTCCCATCATATTAGGAGGAGGACCCATAGGTCCTCCCGGCGGCATCATACCTGGGGGCGGCCCGAACGGGGGCGGACCTCCCATCATGCCTGGAGGTGGACCCATCGGACCCCAGTTTCCATCGAACCCAGGCCCGCCATTGGGCCCGAAACGAGGAGGACCTCCTCTTGGAGGACCCCGGAAGAAACCTCTCGGTCGCATTGGAGGGCCGCCTGGACCAAAGCCCCGGCCACGGAACCTCATTGGTGGTGGAGGCCCATTCATCCATCCTGGTGGTGGTAGGCCCCTACCCCGACCCCTAATATAACATAATAAATAATTCTTAAGTATTGAAAAATACAGAAAATGTCTGAATCTACGTGTATACACATACATTCACAGGGTTTACTACTCCAAGTCATCCCCTGGGTGTCCTAAGAGGCGACTGAGGGTGGAAGGAAATAGGACAGCACGTTATAACAACTGCAATTAATAAAAAATGTGGTTACCAAACCGCCAGCCAAGCACAGCAACTATGGCAATTCTCTCCTATTAGAGTCAACCTATGAGGGAGACCTATGTTAAGCAGTGGACTTTTAATTGATAAATTGTTGAACACTCAACTGTTAGGGTATTGTTGTAATTTTATTTTAAATAAAAAAAGTGACAAAGTTACAGTCCACCTGATGGTAAGTTCCTCCTGTGGCCAACTTCAGACAATGAAAGCTACAGCTGCGTTGTCACCTCTGAGGACTAACATGGAATGCGTCACAGCATGTAATTATACTGACTCTCTATACCCTTCAGACCAGAAAACATTAGTGCAAATACTGCTCATTAGTGACTGAAATGGATGAGAGGGTGGGACCTACTCAGACACTCTTAGGCAGAAAAGTAGCCTTAAGGTAACATAGTGGAAAACTTAAGTTGTGGGTTGGAACTCACCATTGAATTACAACTGCCGTATTACAGCACGGCTAGCATGGGCTAGGGACAAAAAATTTATCCCCCGAAATAAAAAAATATATCCACTGACAAAAGATAAAATTATCTTAGAGAAGTATATGCCCGTTTGACATAACGAATAGACATAAATCCCCCGTCCGTAGCATGGAGCAAAATGAAAGATAAAAAATTATGCTTTTTTGTCATTTGAAAGGGGCAATTTTATTCTAGTTCATTGGATGTGGGTTTAAGTTTATATACATACAAAAAATCTATCTAAGCCTAAGTATCTCCCATTTTATCTACTGTGGATATTACATTCACTTGTGTGCCCATGTTCAAAGGGTGGATAAAACTAAGCAAGGGGATAAACATTTTCTTCTTTCCCTGGGGTTTAAATTGTCTTCTGCCCATGCTAGCCCTGCAGAAGTGGTAACTCAGGAGCTGAGCACTAGCTTTAAATGCCACAGTATACAAGCAATTCTGGGTTCGATCCCCGCCAGCGTCAATAAAATTTTTAATTGATATTATATGTGATAGAGCCACCCTGCAACTATATTATAAATATAGCACGAATGGGTTGGCTCGACAACGCTCTCACAGAATACCAGCGTGAAAAAGCAGCTTAACACTGCTCTGTTACATATAGTGAGTGTAGAGAGCCGGAGACCCTTTTTAATGGAAACAAGACGTTCCATCTCCATCTGTCAAATCTATATTTCTTAGGAATAGGTAGAGGTATCAAGATACCAGATTAAAATAAATATCAAATACTAATGCCTTCTTAATGTTATTCTATACTAAGAGCCGTAGTAGCTCCGGGGCTAAGTGCTTCATGTAAATTGCACAATACGAGCAACCCGGGTGCAATCCCCGCCGGCACCAATGAAATTATTAATTGCAATTTTAAGCCTTGATAAACCACCTGCTTGGCGGTGAAGGAAAACATCGTGATTTTTTCACCACCAAGCAGTAAATTAAAAGTAAGTCAAAACGCACCGGGGGCAGTGCGGCGGACTTTTACTTGTCTTAAAAACCCTCTCAGAAATAAGATGAGATATATGCCCCAGATATGGGAGCTCTACCCTCCTAGCACAAGCATTTAATTTATTATTACAGCTTTGTGGCGCAGTGGCTTAGCATTGAGTTGCGGCGCTAAGGGGTTCGAATCCCGCAAGGAAGAAGTATTTGTATGGCCTAGAAATAATTGTTCCGAGTCTGGCTGATTGTCCTTTGGAAATTTATGAATATAAATTGCCTCTATGACAAAAGAAAATTGGTTAACGGGGTTTAGTAGTGGTTGTAGCGTTACAAGTGTTTTCAAAACATTCCATTAGGTTAATTGTAAAAGTTTTGTTTAGCTATAATATTTAAAAATGTAATGTCATCATCATTCCATAGCTGAACAAAGGCCTATTCCATAGATCGCCTCATGAGAGGGATATTTAATTAAAGCTGCCGCCTATCTCCAGTTTCATTTCCCTCAGTCTGCTTTCACGACACTCACAGCATATGAGGTAGTGGACGCCGCCACTATACGTCGCTTAATGTAATAATATATTATAATATTTTCATTGTACCTACATTCAAAATGAGTCTGACTGCCTAAAATTAAACACAACTTAACGCATATTTTATCAAAATATCTCAACTTCAAAAGCACATAATTTTAAAAAATTCTGACTTGAATAGTGTCTAAGGTCACGACAATAATTAACATATATACGAATATTGTATTCAAACTGATATGTCTTTTACAGCATTGGTCAGTCAACAGAGAATGATAAAGCTAATCATCATAAATATGAATGCATATAATTATTTGTTCTTAATGAAAATATAAGGAATTCACTCATATCAAATGACAAGGTATTTCTAAAACAATCCAAGTCAAGTTTTATATTATGCATAGGAGACAGATTTACAAAAAAAGAACAGAATAATTTACATATTTCCAAATGCAGTGATTGCATCACTATCCAATCATACTATTGTAGACTATAGGTTCCTATATTAGGTTCCTTGACCATTAATATTTGCACACCACTAAGGTAGAATATGTAGAACGAATTATACTCAAACACCATTTGTACAACCATATTCTTGCAAATAAAGATTATTATTATAAAGTCCACTGCTGAACCCCATAGGCATTACCTTGGGTGGCCTGATAAGGGGAATTTCACCATAGTAGCCACACTTGCCAGGCGAGTTGGCAATACCTTTCAGATTCCCTCTGTCCCCTCTTCTGACAACCATGGGACTATATGAATTACATTGGTACTACATGGTTAAATGCAGAGGTACAATACTTATAAAATGTAGAAACGGAAATTATAATTATTTAATAAAGTTTATGAGCCATGATCGCTTAGAGGCTAAGCACTCAATATAACTTTAACAGTATTTAAGCAACCCAGGTTCAATTTTCTCTGGCATCAATGAAATTTATAATTGCAATTTTAAGTGCTCCACGGTGAGAGAAAACACTTAGGAAACTGGCTTACCTAAAAAAATATATAAAATTGTGACATATTGTCATATTCAAAGATTTATTGTTATTCTATTTGGGGGTACTTGTTTACTTTGTTAATTAATAAAGTAAATTGAATGTAGGTAATTTAATATTCACTTATGATAGTCCGACTTTTGTCATGCTCCCAAGCTTAATACATAACAGTATTCCTGTTTTATTCTATATTCTGAACATATATATATAATGTTCTTAGCTCGAAGAACTGACAACCGATGGGGAAGAATCGGGTGGCTGCTTCATACCAGTAAGAAAAATGTAAGACAGCCTCCCACTAGGTGGACATCTAACCTGATAAGACATGCAGGTAGTCGGTGGATGCAGCTTTAAGAGGCTTATGTTCAGCAGTAAACTTGTGCGCAATGATGATGATGTTTATAAAATCAACTAAAGATAAAGGCAATAGTTTTATGCATGCATGGCAAACAAACACTCGCATTACAGTATCCTCGGTGACAGCCGCTAAAACATACACTGAACACACTGCTACCTTAGGCTAATAATTAAACAAATATAGCTTTCGCAAAGCAAATCTAATAGATAAGAAATCATTCTTGTTTGTTCGTATTTATACGCTGCCATACCATTCATCACATTGCAGTAAAAGTTTGTGAACTTATTGCTTGCATTTGCGTGAAGGTTATAGGCATAGTACAATTAACTTACAGTAGGTGGCGCGCGTATCGTACAATCACACTTTTTTAAAGTTATAATATGGTTTAACTTCAATGAATGTATTTTCATTCCTAATTAAACAGATATAACTCTTCCAAATTTAAAATGATATTTCCACAATTATTTCTTCTGTTGCAGCAGCAAATTACATATAAAACATTTTAAAATTATTACTTTTTCATCCTTTAAAAAATAATGCATTAATTTACAATTGCTATTATCATGTTTAAGTCTTTCAATTACCATAATAAAAAAAAATTATATAATGTATAAATATGTTATGATTTAGCATGAATGAGTCAGCTTGAGCTGGGAAGGACCACACTCACAGAATACCAGCGTAAACTAGCAACTTAATGCTGCTGTGTTTTGTATAGTGAGTGAGTACTATAAACAACACATTCTAGCTTATTCCTAAAGGGTGACAACACATCTACATTTTTATTCTTAATCTAGGATTATATAGATTACCATCAGGTGGACAGTGCACTGTTTGTCACCCTTATTCTTTAAATAAAATACAGAAAAGTCACAAATATTGGATATTGTCATAGTAATATAAATTGCTGCTATAGAGGTCCATTACTGGCAGTGAATTTTACGGACTGAACAAAAAATAAACAAAAAAAAACAAAATTTGAGAATCTTCATCAATCATCTTTACATTTTGAATATTCAATTGAAGGAAATAAACACACAAAAATTGCTTCAAGTTCCAATTGTCCAAAGTTCATCATATTAATCAATTCCCTATTCTATTCATTGCTACTGTCTAACCATTGTGGCATAAATCGGACGTTGATAGTGTTAATATTAATTTACGAGTACTAGGTAATTCAATGGAACGGTTCTCAGTAAATTATAAGATTAACTTAAATCTAATACACTTCTTAAATCTACACACTATAAATAATTGTCCAAAATTAAACAACAAGTAAATAAACACAACAACAAACATTATCATATTCTAAGGGATATTATAGAAAGATCTTTTGGCTTCCATGAGATGGTGGTATAACAATTTCATTTAATATGGATATACAAAAGCAACATTAAAGGTATGAATCCAGTACCGGCCACAAAGTGTAGCAAATAAGACAAATCATATCCACGATAGAGGCCATTTGCAGAAGTGGACTTTTATGGGCTGAGCGAACAAGCCAATTGGTATAAAAATATAACATTTCCACAACATTGGTTTTATTTTAATCCAAGAGTGTTTTCAAATCAAATAAAACAAGGGAAAATTTTGTGGTATGAAACAGTTGTTCTATCTAAAGACAAACGATGGTGAGCAGCATTAACATTATCATATAACCAACACTAGACATTTACAGGTTACCAATAATAATGACAGTTCAAATGATTTAGTTTCAAATAAGCTTTTCTTATGTTTAATTGTTTCTACAATAGATATTTATTGCAAAGCACAAACAATGTTACTAATAATTATTAATTATAGCTTATCTCTATGCTTGTCTCTTTCTAATGTCCTTTAGTAAAGAGAGAGAGCAACTTTGTGTGTGTGTGAGTAAGACCAAATAGCATATAGCATAATTATGGGACATTTAAAAAAAATCAACACAGCTTCAATTACCCATCATAACTGAATGAAAAAAGTTCCACTGGATTTCTTGCTTGTTCATCTCAAGACAGAAGTTTTTTCCCAACCAGTGATAAAAGTAAATAATGACTTTCAATAATAATTACAGAAACAGAAACTTTTTTATTCAATATAGATTATAAATAATACTTATTGAAAGTCACTCTTTTGTTTGATTACCACTGGTTCGGAAAAAACGTCTGTCCTGGGAAGAACCAGCAAGAAACCCAGCGGGACTTTTTTTTTAAAATTACAGCTTACAATCATGATGTTACACAAATTAACAACACAACAAATTAGAAATAGCTTGGTAGCGATCACCTCATTTCCAGGGGTTATTATCATCCATAAATTCCTTAATATTATAATAACCATTTTTATACAAACTTAGTTTAATAAATTTTTTGAACTTTGAGCAGGTCAAACTTTGTATATTTTCTGGAATTTTGTTGTAAAAGTCGCCCCAAGAATGAATTACTGACTCGATGGAGTCGTTATTCATTTTAATTTTAATATAGTTACATGTAATCTATATTAAAATTAAAATGATTTTGATTCTATTCTATTCTATGAGAGTACAGCTCATTCAATAAACAAAAATAAGTAAAGTAAGTTATTTATGTAAATATGATCAAACCTGGGGACAATCCCCATTGGCACCAATGAAATTGTTAATTACAATTTTAAGTGCTAATGTACCGTGCTCAGAGGTGAAAAAATAGTATAGTGAGGTAACTTGCATGCCTGAGAAATAAATATACTTAAAAGCATTTGAAATTCCACCTAAGCATACACTGGCAGCACAGTAAACTAATTGCTCTATAAAACCCTCAGAAATGAGGAGAGACCTGTGGCCTGTGGGATGTTAACAGGCTGTAACTTTAACAAAAAACAATTACAACTGATTTAATAACCTTCTCCTTTTTAAGTCAATAAAATATACCTTGTGAATGGATACACATTGTTATTAAAATAAATAGTCAACATAAGTGGTAATAGGAGTGCAAAGGCTGGACATTACCTAAAATTTTCAATGTACCAAATATATTACGTTGTAGAGCCATGCTGCAGCTATATTAGTAGTATAGTTGTATCATGAATGGGTCGGCTGGACCGGGGAAGGACGACACTCTCACAGAATACCAGTGTAAAATAGCAGGTTGATGCTGCTGTGTTTCGTATGGTGAGTGTAGAGAATCGGAGACCCTTTTTACTGGAAACGGGGCATTCTATCTTAGTTCTCAAAGGTGATAACGTAACTGCATTTTGATTTTTAATTGAGGAAAAATATAGATGTCTAAGGGCCACAGTGTCCACTTACAATCAAGTGGACTGTGTGCTCTGGACTGATGTGTGTGGACTGTGTTAAAATTGTCAAAATTATGTTATACTAGCCATCTGCACTTCAAACGGGTGATTTTTGGACCTTGACGACGGCACCATCTACGGACTATAGCTAAGAACCATTTAGGTAACCCCAAAAGTACAATGTAAAAATTTCATTACAATTGATCAAGCTGTTTAGGAAGAAATTATTGAGGGAAACAAACATGGAGAGGGATAGCAGCATCCTTCCAACCAAGTATGGCAACTATGGCATATAGACCCCTTATAACACAACATAAATTTGGAGGCCTACATTCAGCGCAGGACTTTGATAGGCTGTAGTGAATAAAAAAATATTTTTTTATAATAATACTTTACCCTCTTAATACAAAGAAATAGATTAGAAATATATTAGTTGACTGTGCTACGGCCGACACTCGGCTCGAACCCGACATGGTCTAGCATGAGTCATCCTTTATCCCTCTGTCAGAAAGAAAATAACCCTGTGCATTATAGAATAATTTCTTATATTACTACCAGTCCTACACATTTAATGAAACTAATTTATGGAGCTTAAACTTATTTTTGATTTGAGATCTCATGGCTCGAATAATTACATTATTCCTGCCCACACGCAAAATACGTGCCTAAATGTGAAGTCACGGAAAACAGCCAGTTGTTTTATGTCGGATGTATCAGACCAGATCTTAAAGAGATTTATTGTGATAAAGACTGAAACTCTTTCACGAAGACGAAGACCGAAGACGGGTTAATCGGGCGAGGTTTTTTTTGTGACTCCACAAAATGGCTCGGGTCCAAATTGTGTACTCTTTGAGAATTTCATTGCCTACAATACCCACGTGACCCGGAACCTATCTTAAAACAAACATATTGTTGGGGTGTTCAGACGGTTCATGCAGTCTCTAAGTAGCTTCGAGTTCACCAAGTTGGATCTCAGCACTAGCTGTGCTCCTTGACTTTATCTAGCTTATATTTATTACCTCAGTTACCTAGCTTAGATGTTCAGGAACAGTTTGATAGCATTGGATCATTAAAAACCTATTCTTCAAATTTCTTGCAGCCTCAATATCCTGTTTCAAGTTTATGTAACATATGAAAATATTTTCTGCACTTGTGATGGAACACAGCCATAAACTTTAGTCGTACAATAGCTGATCTTATTTTACATGTTCAGTCAGACTTATTAAGCTTTAGGTAGGGACTAGTGACACGATATTTGGGGGACAAACAACAAATATATGGACAAAATGTTTGATCAATATATTGCTTTTTTTTCGTTCACCGATAAATAATATAAAGGAAGATATGTGTTTTCAATAAATACAGTTTTTTGCTACTTCTGCTATAATTAATAAGTTCCTAAATTAAAAAACAGAAATAAACGTGAATGCAGACACAAGATACTAGTAAGTACAAGGTCAGTGATGCAAGATGTTATGGATACACGCGCCTCACCTAAAGTTTCCACGGCCTCGACCTCTGAAGCTATTGCCGCCGTCTTCATCTTCGTAATTCTCTTCATAACCCAAACCTTCTCCGATATCTTTCGGCGGTTCATTAGGATTGTCATTTCCCTCATTGCGATTGCTTACTTCATTCATACCAGAGTCCTGGGAATCCATGTATTCTTCGTCCATTGTTTATATAACACTTAATATTCACAATACACTTATGTCCTCATGCCGAAACAGTTTAGTTTAATTTTTGGCGTACAAGCTACAAGGTACAAGCACACTTTATTTCACAATGGCGGAAAAACATACCTTAACTCAAAATGGCCGCCGATGGCTTACCCTAGTGCTTGACAAAAATTATTCGGAATAAAAACCGTAAAAGTACGTAACTTAATAACTTCATTGTAAAAGTATTTTTACTTTAATTATACATATATTCAGAAACAACAAAGTTTCAATGATATTTTTTTATCACAATTTAATATTATTATATTATTACTTTTTATAGAAGAGGGGGCAAACGAGCATGCGGCTCACCTGAGGTAAGTGACTACCGCCGCCCATGAACAACCGCATCACCAGGGGAATTACAGATGCATTGCCGACCTTTTAGAAAGGTAAGCTCTTTTCTTGAAGGTCCCTAAGTTGTATCGGTCCAGAAAAATCGCCGGTGGTAAAAAAGAGGAGGAAAACTCCTAGTAAAACGCATAGTTGTGGACCGCCAAGCATCCAGATGGTGAGGATGGTATCGTGAATTTTAACGCGATGTACGTTAGTGAAATTTGGCGGCTGGAATTAATCCGAACAATCCCTCATACCGGGCTTAGAATCTCGCCTCGCCTCGCGATGCGTTCGGTTTGCGTTGAGCCAGCAACGATGAAAGACGTCGAAATAATAGCGGCATCAACTCTTGCGTTAATAAGTATTTATCGATGCTTGACCATTTTAAAAAGAAGGAAATAAAAAAAATTACGTCGTTGAGGAAGAATATGGTGGATGATATCTATTCATCGAAACAGAACCTTTTCAGTTTTATAATTTTATAAAAATTCCTAGTACCTATTGTGCAAGATTAAATAATATTATTTTATTAAAATTCTAATTTTAAAACAAAATCAATTCGAATTTTATTATGGAAGGGCCCCGAACTCAAACTGAAACGAGAGCGCGAGTGTAAGCACATCGCTCGCGTCCCTCGCGAGGCCCTTTGCCTCGTGCCCAAAAAACCGCCCAGCCGAGCTGCGAGGCGAGCCACGAGCTAGTGTTTACTGTCGCACCTCGTGGCTTGCCTCGCGACTCGACTCGCCGCTCGCGCGAGAATGTAAACAAGGGGTAAGAGCACTCCCCGTCGTAGATTCGATAGAAATTGCAAAGGGATGCAAGTGTATCGAGCCGATCAGAAAGAACTCGGTCGTCGATTATTCGAACCACTTTGCACTGGATGCGGCCAAGTGAAAGGAGCTGGCACTGGGGTGCCCCGGCCCAGAGATGAGAACAGTATTCCATGTGAGGCCGAACTTGCGCTTTGTAAAGTTGCAAGCGTTGTGCCGGTATGAAATACTGTCTCGCCCTACTGAGCACGCCAAGATTTTTAGAGGCCAATTTGACCTTCCCTTCCAAGTGACCACGAAACTGCACAGTAGTCGATATGTATACGCCGAGAATTCCGATGCTAGCTGAGGCAGCAAGAGGAGTGTCTTGAAACTGACGAGATACGACAAAGGTTTCTTTTTAGCGGTAAATACGCAAACTTGTGTCTTCTGGGGATTAAACTGGACTATATTAGTCGCCCGCAATCCGAGAGTTTGTTTAGCAAAGACTCGACTTCAGACACAAGTATGTCCCGGTACTTGGCGACGTTTTCCCGAGAAATATTGGCATGGCCGGTGTTACGGACGGCGAGGGGAGCCACCGCCCCGTCACCCCGTCGCCCCTTGATACCCCGTTGCGCCCCGCGCACCTCGCACACCGCCCAAATATTATGTGTGGCCGCCGACGAGTCAGCGCGCGGCACACCTCACAACACCACTCGCATGCCGAGACGCCCTCTTTCGAAATATAAGAAAGGCGTTTTGGCCTGTGAGCTGTTCATTTCGGAAGCAGCACTTGAAGACAACAGCAAGAGAAGAAACATCAAGAGAAATCAAGAGATACGAATTAATACTCCATTGAAGATTGAAGATTGAAGATTCCCCTCTGTGTATATAGTTGAGTGAAAAGCCGCATTGTAAATAGTTGAATATATAATCGTCTACAGTACCATCTTTTCTTCGACAGTCCCTATAGTATAGTTTACCCTACATAACGTCAGTCGTCACACACAGTTAGTCAGTCAAACAGTTAGTTTAAATCATACAGTCCACTGCAGTCCCTCACAATTCTTGGTCCATCGTCGCCGGACAGAAGCCAGAAGAAAGAAGCTGGAAGATCCGAAGTCCATACAGAAGAAAGAAGATTATTATAGAAAAAAGAAGATCATTATAAAAGATCATCGAAGAAGAAAGAAGTTCATCGGCGAAGAAAGAAGGTCGTCGGTTAACCAATTTCATCCCCGTTTTTTACTACGTCTACGTCTACATTTACGTCTATTGTCTGTTTCCAGACAATTTCTTGTTTCTTAACCGCGTTTACGCGGCCAGGTGATTGCTCCCTAACGGTGCCAAACTGTAATCGCCTGGTAACGCCCTTGCGGCGGGAACGGCAACCAATACGTGCGTCTTTCTGAAGACGATCGGAAGCCGCAACGTGGGACATCGTGCGTAACGGCGGCTCTTCACGTTGGCCAACACACTGGCCAATGTGTTGGCCAGCAACGATGGCCATCGTGTAGAGCGGGTGTTGGTACGTATTGAAACGATGGCCCACAAGTTGGCGCGAGATCCGTCTGGTGTCGGTTTTTTACAAAAGATCAAAGGGTTGTGGCAGAGTATTGGCCGCCGCGTCCACATGTTGGCCGCACGTTCAGTTTGCTACGAGCTCCCAGAGTGAATGCACGCACCTGATTTAAATTTTATATGCACGCAATTTAGTGTCTACATAACGGCAGTAACAATGACCAATAAAAAAACTTTTCGCTTTATAGAGCCCTACCAAGCCGAAAATTGTTTGTAAAACACAAGTCTTTTTTTAAAAAAAAAATATTATACACTAGGATTTTCTCCTGTATCGTGGAGGCAGTTTAGAAACATAAATTGCATAAGGACAAACATCCAGACCCGGGGAAATGATGTGCAGGCTATACAAATACTTGTTCCGTGCGGGATTCGAACCCGCGGCCCCCAGGGCAGCAACTCATTGCTAAGCCACTACGCTACGGAGCCGTCAAGAAATAAAATTTCTTTTTTCCATTTCTTTTTGATCACCCTTATCTTATACACATTCACGTTGTAGTGATTAATTGTGTATTAATTTATTTATTGACGTATTAATTGATTTATTAAATATCTTAAAATATATAATATATATTAAAATCAAGTTAAAAAGTAGGATACTAAAATCATGTTTTTACTGTCTTTATTATTCCCTATTAGTTACTTTATTCGTTAATAATACTGTAATTTTTAGCTATGGAAGAGCAAAGTCACCTGTTACAGGCATTATTTTGCTTACTAGGTGACCTCGATCACTGATCATATTATAATGTAACTTTAATGTTTGACGAAATAAATTATTTATTATTATTATTATCATTAAGTTTTATTCTATAATTATATAATAAGAATAACGCTTTTTAAAAAGGTTTTGTTTAATAAAAAATTTACAACAGTTTCATAGACAGGCTTCGAATATTTTCCAGGCCTTAGTTAATTATACCTATGCCTAGGTGTGTTAATGTTTATATAGTTCACTTATCTGTATAACGTTAGTGTATAATAAAGAAATATTAAAAATTTATATTAAAAATATTAAATATAAAAAATAGTGAAAATTAAATAAAAAAATAGTGGTATGCTGTGAATAAATAAACCGCAGCAGCCGTTAGCGCATCAATAATCATTTTAATAAATTCGTCCGCACATTGGCCTGAACCAAAGCCAAAGCAAACTGAACGACCTTCCAACGTGTGGACGCGATCACAATTTCGTGGCCAATAACTCTGCCAACACATTCGCCACTGTGTTGGCCAACGTGAAGAGGCGCCATAAGACAAGAAGCCAGAAGACACGGAACGACGACGAAACGCGGGTAGGAATGCGGATTTTCGAAGAAGCGCCGCCCCTTCCGATTATTTATCGTTGGCACAAGCCCCCTCCGCCGCGCCCCAGCCTCCGCTCGCGCCTGCATCTACGCCCGCGCTCGCGCTTGCGCCGTCGCGCCCTGCTATGTCCGTGTCGACAACTGATCGTTTGGGAGAGGTTAGCACATCCGCGCCGCGTACAGATACACTCGCCGCGATTATAGAAGATCTTCCGGTTACAGAGACTAGTTCGACAATGCGTACAAATGCGTACCGTCGAGCCTGTAGCAGACGTTGTACATAGGCCCGCGCCCCGCGCCCCGCGCCCCGTCGGTCCGTTCAGTTCGTTCAGCCCGGTCGGCAGCTAGCGCTATAGCAAAATTAGGTAGCTGCAATTAGAAGGAAGCAATTGCAAATTGAGGAAGATCTTATCAAGAAGAAATACGCTAGGGACGTCGCTCATCTACAAGAAGAAACGGATAGGGATAGTTTGAACGAGGACGATTTAGCGGAAAATAGGGTACGTGTTGATAAGTGGTTAGAGAACGTGGAGACTGTGCGGCGGGAGCCGCCCTACCGCCCGTCTCAGCCCGCGCCCCGCATCAAGATAGAGCAGGCCCCATTGATTAGGGGAACCAGTTACGTGTACACTGAAGATACCCAGGGGAGGTCGGTTGCGAATAACGATCAACCACGTCACGTAGATACGATACAGAGGGATAATGGAGTGGCCGTAGAAATGAACCAGGTGGATCGCCGTGTACGGGTTACGTCGCCGTCGCGCGTCCAATGCCGTACTCTATCGCCTATACGTAGAACGCCATAGCCACATCGCCACGCGGATCGTAGATTACCGTCGCCATGTCATGATGTAGGTATAGATAGATCGCCACATCGCCACGCGGATCGTAGATTACCGTCGCCGTGTCATGACGTAAGTATAGATAGATCGCCACATCGCCACGCGGATCGTAGACTACCGTTACCGCGTCACAAGGATGTAGGT